AATTTGTTAGATATATTAACGGCAATGCATTAGTTGAAGTTGACAATAAATTAATAGAAATTCCAATTTATTTTATTACTCCATTATATTTAAATAATATTTAATTTTTTTATTTCGTAAGAAATGAGTGACAACGAAGCAGCCAAGAGTCCTGATTCAATTAAGATTCAGAGTCCAGACGATGAATATAAAAAGAAACTAAACAGAATTAAATCAAAAATATGCTATTACAAAAAGAAGCCGCAATGCGGTGGGGTTGATGCCCATAAAACTAAAGTAATTGAAAACGATAAAGAGAAGAAGGAAATAATCGAAAAATTAGAAACTTACCGTTCAATCCTTAAACTGAGTGAAGCAAAAATAAAAGAATTTAATAGAATAAATAAATTGATTGGAAGAGATGAATTTAATAAAGATGAATTTTTAAACTCAATCCAAATTTAATTTTTATTTTTCTTTGACAACATCTCTCTTTCCATCATTACTGCATAACCACATTTTCTCAGTTTTAGTGGTTTGTTATTTTTAGCAAGTTCTCGCATCATTTTTATCGTTTCCTCCCTTGTTATGATTCGTGGTAAATTTTGAGCTTGTGGGGTATCCATTTATGATAAAAATAAAAATTTAAATTATGCCGTTCTAAAGTTTGTGACAACATGACATTTTGACAACAGTCCCGGAAATGATTTGTCATGACTTCATCGTAATGAGTGTAAATGACCCAAAAATATATTTTATCGTTTATGGTTTTTAGGTTATTCAATAATTAATTATTTTTGAAGAACTGAGGGTGTCACTACGTCACCATGTCACCAGGTTAATTAACTTCTTTAAAAAAGTGTGACAACATGACATTTTGACAACATTTACGAAAATTAATGGTTACGTTAAGTGACTCAAAGAGTCCGGAGACAAAGTCTCATGTTTACGTTAATGTTTTTAGGTTATTCAATAATTAATTATTTTTGAAGAACTGAGGGTGTCACTACGTCACCATGTCACCAGGTTAATTAACTTCTCTTAAAAATGATGACAACATGACATTTTGACAACACAGCAGGATTAATGCAAAAATAAATTCAAATCATAATTTATACTGCCTCATTTACAGGTATTTCATCATCAGTAAATGAATCCTCATTATCGTTTGGTTCAACCTGTTTATATAATCCTTTCATTTCTTCTTTCAAAACATAACACCATGTTTGTTTACCATCTATTCTTCTCTGTTTCCTATCACATTTATCCTTAATGCTCATTTGGAAATTCTTGTCTTTCATGTCTGATGGTTTGCAGAATAGAGCATTTTTACACGTCATACCTGCACACAATTCATCATAATGTGTATTCATCCATTCATCTAAAGGATTTGTTGATAATTCTATTAAATCTTGTTTGGCTTCACTCATCGGTATGATTCGTACATTAAATGATGAAAGGTCATATTGCATAAAATACGTCAGTAAATTATCATAAAATTCCTTAGTGCATGAATTCATCAAATTCTTGAAGTAATCAAATTGACCCTTAAATTTACCATTAACCCTTAAAACTACGTATCTTCTGTCTCCAACTTCAATTTTGACAGGGTAGACGTTATTAGTTACCAAAATGACGTTTGCAACGTTCTGAGCAGTTCTTCTGGGTTGATTCTTTTCATTAATTCTAATCGCATTATCTGTAATAATTGATTTCAAAGCGTTGAAGTTTGCGAGTCTATCTTCACCAACATTCTTGAGTTCATTAAGTACAAGAAACATTTTATTCTCAACTACTGAATTGAAATTACCCGTTAGCTCACTTATTTCAGTAATGTTTTTACATGAATAACCAGCGAGGAGTTCAGAAATAATGTCTGTAAATCTGTTTTTACCTGTTCCCTGAAGTCCTTTCAAAATAATTGCTGTTTCATTCTTGATTCCAGGATGTTGAATCATTGATGCAATCCAGCCGAGAAGGTATTTATACACTTCATCGTTATTATCACAAATGGCTTCTTTAATGAAATTCATAAACATCTCAATTTTTGAGTAATCAGGCTTTTCGAGAATGTTGTATTTATAACTCTGAAACGTTGAGAAAACATCTGGGGAATCAGATTTAAAGCAAACACCCTTAACGGTTAATGAGGATAATTGATTTAGTAGTACGTCCCATGCTGTTATGGTTTTACCTTCTTCTTTAAATAATTTAATCATTTTAAGTGACTCTTTCATGTTTGATTGAAGAACGAATGATATTTGATTCATTTTGTCGTGGATATTATAGTCCTTTTGAATGAAGTATTTATTTCCACAATCTACAAAACGGATTACACGTGATAAATCCTCAATTACTTCAGAACTGTTTTTATACTGATGATTTTCAGCTTTACGTCTAATATCTGTTATCAAAAACGAGTCATCAAGTTTGATATCAAATGTTATTTTTGGCTTACGTAATAAAGGTAAAACGTATTCATCATAATATTCCTTTTGATATAGTTTTAGAATCTTCACTAAAACAAATGGAGAAGTCATTAAATGTGCATATCTACTACGTGCTTTTTCAAAATTACTTTTTGCATTTTCTGTTAAGCTGCAGAAGTTATAAACGTTATCGTATGCTTCATTAATTAAATGATTAGGTAATGAATTAATAGCTTGAAACAGTGTGAATAATGTAACTTCTTTTTCCAAATTCATGTTTCCACCGTCATTATGTACTTCAAAATCACTAATACCATCAACTATGCTCTGGGCAAGTTTATCGTCAATGTTTACATCTTTGTTTTCATTCATGATAGTCTTTATTTCTTCATTCTTTTGTTCAACTCTTACATTAATATTCAAATCATTTAATATATCATTTACTGTTCTAGTTAATGTTGAATCGTAACTTCCACGAATGAATGAGTATGTATTGATTGGTTCTGTTGCATTCTTGCGAACTCTTGAATCAGCCATAACTACTAAAGAACGCTTTGAATCATCCATAGAAGTCATGATATCGATATCATAATCATTGCAGGAATAACATTTAATCATTCTGTTCGAGGTTGAATAGAAGAAATTAGTGTTGCAATAAATGTGAAGACCTCCTGAAGCGGTTTTAACGATAACATCTTTATCCGAAAGTTTTGATAAAATATCTTTTCTAACTGTTTCTTTAAGTTCATCATTGTATGATTTATTAATATCAACATCTATAATCGTTAAATTTGAAATTTTATTTACTAATAAAGCCATACCAGTTTTCCTTCCTCTTCCTCCATCGTGTTTGAGGTAGTTATGTAAATCAATCTTGTTTTCACCAATTCTTTCGTTGAGGGTTTTAGTTTCTGCCACAACTAATTCCTCAGCTAATGAATCAATAACTTTTTCATCAGAAACGATAAAGTTGTTGTTGTTGCTGTTGTTGTTTGTTGCTGTCATTTATATAGGAATAAAAAAATAAAAATAATTTTAAAACTAATTTTATTTTTGGACTGCATCATATTTCCAGGACTGTTGTCAAAATGTCATGTTGTCATCATTTTTAAGAGAAGTTAATTAACCTGGTGACATGGTGACGTAGTGACACCCTCGGTTCTTCAAAAATAATTAATTATTGAATAACCTAAAAACCATAAACGTAAACATTAACGATAAAATTTATTTCCAGGACTGTTGTCAAAATGTCATGTTGTCTCATTTTTTCAGAGAAGTTAATTAACCTGGTGACATGGTGACGTAGTGACACCCTCAGTTCTTCAAAAATAATTAATTATTGAATAACCTAAAAACCATAAACGATAAAATATATTTTTGGTCGTTTATGACAAAAATAAATGGTTCATTTACTCACAATATTTTTTTACAAAACGACCCCAAACTTTTAACTTCTTTTCTGCAGTTTCTAATGCTATCTTAGCGAGTTCATATTCTCTAAATTCTCTCTTTAAATCTTCTTGTTCCCATTGGTCTAGTTCGTATGGAGAATCTCTATAACCATAATATATCTCACGTTCATGTTCTAATTGTTTTTCGCACATTTTTCTAACTTCTTCTTCAAACAAATGTTTAGCATTCTCTACTGTATCTTCGAGTTCTTCTTCATCTAATTTCTCATGAACTTTCTTGTCTATGGAGTCCATAATTTTTCCAACTGCTATGCAATATTTTGGAGAAGCCCACATTGCTATATAGTTTATAAGTCTTGGGTCTACATACGTTCCTCTAACCTGTTTGATTTCATCAGGAATTCCTGCATGAATTTTGTATAAAAAGCAACAGTCTGAATTCCGGCGGTTGCTATATTCTTCACAAAATGCCTTATATATATACTCTCTCCCAGGACTTATTTTCCAACAACTTTCTAAAGTCTTTCCTAAACTGCTGACACATATTTGTTGCATTAATGTAACCATCCTTGTCTCTACGTAAGACTTCAATACCGTTATAAGTGCCTTTTGTGAATGTTTCGCCATTAGATTTGTTCGTAAATGATTTTGCTTCGACTGACATTTCTGTTCTTACATACAAAATAAAAAAATGAAACCGATTTTAAAACTAACTTTATTTTTGGGCTGCATCAAATTTCCAGGACTGTTGTCAAAATGTCATGTTGTCATCATTTTTAAGAGAAGTTAATTAACCTGGTGACATGGTGACGTAGTGACACTTTCAGTTCTTCAAAAATAATTAATTATTGAATAACCTGAAAAACATTAACGTAAACATTAACGTAAACATTATTTCTGCAGTTCATCCATTACTTCATTACCTAATTAATTACAGACATAAAATATATTTAGTTCATTCGGTAAGCCTTGACCCAAAAGTCTGGGCTCAAGCACATTCAATGAACGCGGTACCATGCGAATACAGTCACAAATGGTGGCATGTAATCTTTACCCGAGCCTGTTGGATTTGTTGTGAAAGTGTGTGAATGATTTCCTGCGGTTCCACAGAAAATACCTGTGCTTGAATCTACTGGGTCAGTTGTGATATCATATCTATTCATTCCCCATCTATCCGAACCCGCTGCAAGATTTATATAACCTCTTTTTGTTATTGAATGTGAATGATTACCTGTTGTGTTTGTAGTTCCTGTATGAGTGTGCGGTGGAAGGTTTGCTTCTTTAATTTTCTTCGAACCTCCTGTTTGCTTTGAATATCTAGCACAGTATAAGAATTTATCTACAATCTGCTTCCACGTACCAAAACCTAAAACACTTGCTGGATTTGTTGAGTTCATTGATGTATAAATAGAACCAACAGGATATAATGTTTGAAGTATTTCATTTTTCATGCTTGTAATCACATCATTTACTTCCGACTTCTTTGCATAATTTTCATCAACATATGTTTTATCCGCTTTAAGGTCTAAACATCCTGAAACCCATTCTGTATCAGCTTTAACTTTAAAAGTCTCAAATGTCCATTCATGATACCATTCAACCTTTTCTTTAATTTCATTATCTTTTTCATCAACATAAACCAAATTTGCCTTCTTCTCTAACTCACTATCCACATATGTTTTATCCGCCTTCTTCATTATGTCGTTTAGGAAACCTTCTATGAATTCCTCATTTAAATCAAATCTTCCAATCTTCAAAACTTTAGGAAATGCATTTAATGCGTAATATCTCTGTTCTTCTGGTGGAATTGATGTTATATCATCCGGTATTCCTTTAATTTTTGAATTCATAAATAAAATTTCTTTTATATTTGATATCACTGCACCACCTTTGCAAACGAATTCGAAATGTTCATTTTTCAATACTATCTCCAAATCTCCATATTTCAACCTTTGCGTTTGTTCTGCCGTCTTTGAATTATATGCATATATGGCGTATGTAATGGTCTGAGGGACCTGGGTGTTTTGTGCCTTAAGTTGCTGTTGTTTAATCATTTATTATGATTTAAAAATAAATATTTAATCTGTTATCTCATCACCTATTTTTTCTATTTGAAATTGCCATAATATTTCATTCATGAATTCTAAATCACAATCAAATAGGTCAGTTATTCTAAATTTAATATTTGATAAATCTTTTGAATGAAGAATAAATGAATTCCGGATAATTGAAACGGATATGATAAAGAAAATGTGTTTAAGTTGATGGATAAAATGTTTTGTATTGATGGGTAAGAGTTAGGGTCTAATGTTTGATGTGAAAATCTCATTGGGGTATTAACTTTATCACATTTGATTAAAATGAAATTGGAACCAGTGTCAGAATACAAAACATCCCCAACATCTTTTTCAAAATTTAATATCCCCAACAATGAACGAAGATGAGGAGTACAAAATTTAATTTTCAGCGGGAATTTAATAAGGTTATTTATTTCATCAAGTTCAAAAAGTTTATCAGGTTTTGATTTAAAATTTTCTTCATACCATACGATAAATGATTCATTTAAATAACTTAAAATCGTGTTAATATCCCATTTCGCTATCACATTATTATATACATATCATACGTTTTTTCATGGTCATCTTTAATAAATGATATATAATCTGAAGGGTCTAAAAGAATGGGATTAAATTTACCACTCACAGAAACGAGAGTAACATTATAAATTCCGCTAACTGTTAAATTTAATTCACAGTTATTATTCGAAATAATATTGATAATTGACATTTTTATTACGATTAAAAATATGGTAAAGCGTTATTTTCCAGTGATAAATAAAACTAGAATAAGATTACCTCAAGAATTCATAAATTCAACGAATAAGAAATTCATTCATGTTATAAATTTAGTGTTTTCAGAAAATATGAGTCAGTGTCATATTCATCAACAGGTTATATTTCACTTCATTCAAATTTAGTTCAATCAAACCCATATAATGACCATTTCATAAGATTTTCAGATGGTATTAAAAATGTAATTGATAGATTAAAATATGAACAGATTGACAATATCGAATTTTTGGAATTTGGTTTAAATATCCCGATGGAAAAAGATTGAAGTTAAAGATAAAGCTGATACTATAACAAAAAACAATTACAATGACGATCCAGATAGTGGGGAACAAAAAGAAATAAAACAAACGATAGAAACTGGTGAAAGGTCAATTATTATTGATTATGATTCAAAGGATTATTATTCGATAATGTTAATGCTTGAATATTAAATAGCCTTAACAAAGAATTTTTCAAGTGATATTTTATATTCATCAACTATTTTATTATAAATATCATTATATGTTAAATGAAGTTCAGTTGTTGTTCCGTTCTTTGATATCTTAATTGTGCTAATATCCTTTATAGGATTTATTTTTGCAACTGTTCCGCAGCATGAAACCTCATCATCTATGAAAAATTGAATCTTAACGTCTGAATCTTGAACATCACAAAGAATGGCGATAATGTGAATTAATGATTCATAAGGTAAAATAATTAAACCGGATTGGTCAATTAAATTTATTATTGAATCATAATTATTAATTATTATATCACGGTAAATTTTCATTAATTCAGAATTAATGTCTATTTTATATGGGTTCTCGATGTTTGATGAAAGAGGGGGGTATGTTGGATAAGTGGGAATTTCAACAGGTTCTTTACCGGGTTCAGATAAAATGATTGGGTCTCCATTCTCATGGTTTTCTTCATTCTCCTCATTCTTCGGTAAGTCACGAGTTAATAAATTTGGTTGAGTTGCTGACCTTGTTAATTCAGGGCTAACATTAACTTTAACATTTTGAATAATTCGTGATTTATCATCATTTACGTTATAACCAACCGTAATCTCTGCTTTTGCGTTAGTGTTCTTTTGACTAGTGAAACGTCTTCTCATTTATATTCGAATAAAAAAATATATTTAAACTTTTATTTTGCTGGAACTTTTGAATCTATTATTCCCTGTATTTGTTCATGAAGTTGATTTTTAGCTGTTTCATCGAAATTAATAGACCGAATATATTCATTAATTGCATTCTTATAATCATCTGATTTCTCAAATTTTCTTTTATCTGATTCCTTAACTAAATCATAAGTTAAACCTCGTTGCTGATATAATGGTTTCTTAATTAAATCTTTGAATGCTTGAGATAAAGCACCTGATGCAATTCTTGCTACTATAATTGGTTGGAATTGCTGTTTAAGTTCATCTTTAACATTTGCGAAAACTGGATCGAATAAAGCAACTTTAAAGAATTTCTTAGCTGAAATTTCAGGTCTAATATTTGCATATTGACCATCAAACTGGTTAGAATATCGTGGTAATCCATCCGGTCCCTCTTCAATAGCATTTAATTCTTCATTGAAATAAGAATATGGATTATGACGGTATGAATTAATTGGACCATTTTCACCTTCTCCAATGTATTGTTTAACAGCTTTTCCATTTTCATCAAATTGCATAGGATAACGTTCATTATATGCTTTACGTTTAGGATAATCAGATATAGTTAATTTATAACCATTTATGACTTTAATATTACCTTGACCATCAGTAACGAAAACTTCATTTATACCATCAGGTTTTCCATTTGGACCCGTAATGTCTGCTTCGTGTGCTTCCCAATTTGGACCTTGACGTTTGGCATATGCTTGAGCTTCTGGTAATGTTAAAACGTTTCTCATTTGTTTAACATCTTTTTGAAGACCAGCAACAATATGAACTAATTCTTTCATTCCATCAGGAACTTTCATAGTTCTATTATATGCACCCTTTTTGTTTGTCCCTTGTTTTAATGGAACCTGTAGAAGATTTGCATTTCTGTCATGTTTAATTATAAATAAAAAATAAAAATTAATTATAAAAAGTTAATCAAATTTAACACTTCCTTTATTTAAATCAACTATTATTTTTCCATGTTCACCTAATTGCTGATATTGTGTGTAAAGTTCATTAATGCTCATTGGTAAATTCACTTGATAAAGCATAACGTTCAACTGTTGACGACTAAACCCACTGAAAATGAAAAGTGTTGATAGATTTGATTTAATGTTTGTGCTTAATGCTTTGAAAGTATTGAACAGCCATAAAGAATGAACACTGAATGTGTCGACATTGAGTTAATAACTGATTAAAATATGATTTCTCATTTGTTATTAGTTTTGATTTCACTGCATCATCTAGAAAAATGAGTGAATGCAAAAATTCTCTATCAAAATTTGAAATAGAAAGTGTTTCAAATAATTCATCCCGTTGTTTATCAATAATTTTATCCTCTAATCCTTGCTTCTTGATTGTATTATATAATTCTTTATACATTAAAAAGTTTTTTAAATAATCTTCTGCTTCTTCTTGTGATAAATAAATAATTGGAATTTTGATTAAATGCTTTAAAGATTCAAATGTATCATCTGAAGGTGAACCTGAACGGTTGATATAAATTAACACATGTGAATAGGGGGAAGTGTTAGCAATAATGATAATTTGTTTTAATATCGTTAATGTTTTACCTTTATTTTGTTTACCAATTGCTGCAGTGATTGAATTTAAGTAACATTCAGAATATGGAATTTTCATTAATTTTTCCTTAGATAGAGCATTTCTATTATCACTCAATGCTTCATTAATCATATCATCTACGTATGTATTATATACTCCGCTAATTCTTCATAAGGGTGGATGAATTTAAATCCATTTAATCAAAAATAAATTTATAATTTTAAACATTTCTATTCATCAATATTTCATCATATGAACTTCTATACTGTGGTGGTGTACCTGTTGGATGATATTTCAAACCTTCGTCCGGTGTCCATGTCCAATATGTAGTCCTAGTAAACCAAACCTGAGGAGGATTTGTCACCTTTGAACAGTAAGTGTCATTTTCACCCTGAATGATTGGATAAGCTTTCACTTGTACTGTAACTTGTGAGTTGAAAGTTTCTAATCCATCAAAGAATATACCCGCTCCATCACGTTGAACTGGAATAGTGCATAAGAATGAAGTTTGGTCTTTCCATGTTCTAGCTAATGGCGTGCCATCATCATCATTCAGTGGTCTAGTTAATGAGTCCTCGTATTCTTCTGTGCATTCATTCACTCCATCTAAATCAGAAGCTTGAAGCATACGTGTAAAGAATATGTCACCCACTGTGGTCATCGCTTGATCGGGGAAGTTTCTGGAATCTATAGTGACCTGAAGACCTCGAAGCATTGGATTTTCTAAAACGTTCTTTGCATTGCATTCTTCGGAAATGTTAACACAACATCTGTAACATTATGAAGAGCGTATGAGAAATCTGAGCTGATACCTTCAGGAGTGATGCAACCTCCATTTAGTGAACGAACGTCAATATGTTGAGCTGGAATCATGAATGGATCTTCCTTACTGAATAAACGTGGTATTGCTTTAACTGATTCTTCAATTAAACCGTATCCTGGTGTAATGCATTTATCCTCTAAAACTTCCATCTTTGTGCATGAAATAATAACGTCATCAACTGTTGCGTCAGCAGATGTAGCGGCTAAGCTTGTAATTAATTTGGCAGGAAGTCCGATTTGTTGGAATTTGCGATCATATTTATAAACATGATTCATAATCTTTTCATAATTTTCATCAGTTATCTTTTCATAAACGTAATTTTGTAAATCAGCAACTCTTAACGGGTCAACCTGACAAAATACTAAAGTATCCCTGAAAACATAATATTTAAGAATGATTCACCAAATGATTTAGGATAATCATCGAACGCCTGAAATGCTAACAAATCATTTACCGGAATAATCATATCAAAAGTGACATCAACTTCTTCATTTGCTTTCTTGAAAACTTCTGAAGGGTCAATATATTTACCACATACTGAGTTATCATATTTTTGAACATTATTATATAACGAATGAACAAACTTTTTAACTTTCCTTTCTGATTTTGGTTTATATGTTGCAAATGCGAAAGATTCACGGGCGCAATCCATCTGAAGATAACCGGCATCACCTCTTTCGGTTTCTACTTCTAATTGTTTAAAGCTTTGATTTGATGATTTGTAACCAACGAATAAACGCATGCATTTAAAAGCGGCATCACATGTGAAAGCTTTATTTGAAACTAGAGTTGCTTTAACTTTGCGTTTAATATATGTGTCACCTAATTGGTTCACATCATGAGCCGGATTTGTAATTCTTAAATGAGTTTGTTTATCATCAAAATATGGAGCATCAGAGTCATAGCATGAACTTTCAAGTTCTCTATAATATCTTCTACCGTCATTCTTTGCGAATATTTCATTTATCTTTTCGAATGAATGAAACACATTTCCATTAATCGGTTTAGTGTTTAGCACCAAATAGTTAGTCGTCATTTATTATAAAAAAAAATCAAAATTAAAAGATGAAAATGAATTTTTAATTTTAATGAAATAATCAACTATGGCTGCAGGTATATTTAAGAAACTGTGGGATAAAGTAAAAAGAGGAGCGCATAAAGTTTGGGAAACAATGAAGAAAGGAGCAAATTGGATATTTAAGAATAAAGAAGCAATTAGTGACGTTGCTGAATCAATAACACCAAAAGCCGCCCCAATAAGAGAAATATTAAATAAAGGAGAAAAAGTTTATCAAAGACTTCAACCGATACTAAGATAAAAATAATATTTATTTATTTTTCCACTATCTACCTCCTATTTTATTAAGTATTCCTTCAGCTATTCCACCAATTGCGTTACCTGCTTGTGCTCCCATCGCCGGATTACCTGCTTTAGTACCTAATACTCCACCTATGATAGTTCCTGCCGTTTTCGCTACTGGTGCCAAAAAGTTTGCAATGGGTTTAATAATATTTTTATGAACCCAACCCGCAGCTTTCTTAATTCCATCCCATAATTTTTTAAAGAATCCTGCCGCCATTTCTGATTTAATATTAATTAAAAAATATATTTCATCACTTATATTCTAATTTTTATTTAATGATAAATGAAACCGATTTTAAAAATAAATGAAACAGAGGAGGAAGAAATAAATGAAGGTGAAAATGTTCAACAAAAAATAAACGTTGTTAAACCAATTACTGAAATAAAAATTTTTTCATCTGTTGAAGAATTTAATGACTATTATGCTAACAATAAAAAATTATTTGAAGAATTGACAACGTGTAAATTGAATAAAATGTTTAAAGTTGATGGATTCAAAATTTCAAAAATAAAAGGAGTGGTTAGTTTGAAATCTATTCCTCAATCAATAATCACCTCATTAATGAAAATTGATGATTTAACAAAAAGAATAGAAGAGATTGAAGAAAGAATAAATCAAATAATTGATATCATAAATTCAAATAATCATTAATTTCTTAAAGTTCAATGTTGATTCTGAGACATGAATTTTTAAAGTTTATTTTTTTATTTTTTATTTCATTATGGTAGTGAATCTTTTACTCGTTTATGAGGTCTTTGATTATGACTCCATTGATTCCATTCAGGATTTAAACAATGTTTAATTAATCGCGGAATATCTGACATCATCTATATATAGCTTCTTTTATAAAAGATAAAAAATAAATTATTTTAAAATTAATGTTAATTTTTTAATGATTTATTTCATTATGTTTGGGTTGAGTGTAAATGTCTTACAATTTTGAAAATTTTTTAAATCTTGATTTATTCAAAAACGTAAGAATAAAAACCGTCAGAATCATACATTTTTTACTTCATATGTTAAAAAAAATGATACAAAATCGCTCGATATTGTATGAATTCTTACGTTTACAAAAAAAGTCACACAACCCGTCCACATATACTACTATAATTTTAATAATTTGAAATAAAGTTTTGGGTCTGTCGAAAATATAGTTTCTAGTCAATAAATTAACAAATGGTATTAAGGGTTTTGTTTTGCTAAAATTGTCACTTTTATAGCATATTTGTTTTTGGATGTTTTGCGAAACCAAAAAAAAAACTATGATATACAATGTGTGTGTAAAGAAAATACTTTATTTAACTAGTTAAAAATCATTTGGTATTGATCAAGTTATTTTTTCTGGATAAGATATTATATGGATAATTGGATAGAAAATACAATTATATAATCTTGTACCTGGTTTAATTAAGCTAATTGTCATCAGAAACTTGTAATTTTTATGAATTTCAGATTTTCTTTTCATTACTGCTTTTCTTAATAGGTCAAGTTCTTATTTACGTTATAAAGTATGATATTTACAAATATCAAGTTATCATGTTTTTTGAGAAATTATGAGAAACAAACAAAAATGAAAAAGATAGGAATAGCAATGAATAGTGATGTGGGTATAGAAAATGTAAGAGATATGGATGCAAAGCAATCAGTATTTAGGATATTGACCATAGATTTCGAAAAAAAAATGCTGCTAATTGAGCGAAAACTATGATTATATTATAAGGCTGTCATTTAAAGCATAATGAAACTATTCCCTTTTCATTTTAATCGAATAAGATAGTAAAGATTTTTGAATTAGCTAGAAACTGATGAGATGTTTTCACAAATCAGATTTGTTTAATCTCTATAATGCATAATTCACTCATATTCAATTTTGATATTGCGAGATATTTTTGCTATCGGTTTCGCAATTTTGACACAATAGCAAGAGGGTTCTATAAGCATTATTATCAACGTAGAATCTGAATATCATATCAGAAAATGTCGCAAATCTGGCATTTACCCGACCAAATAGCAAAAATAATTGAATACTTTTCGCAAAAACTTTAAAAATCGATAAAAATATGAAATATAGATATTAAAGAGACTTTTTATATAATACATAAAGATTTTCCAAAAATATGATACCGCAAAATTAAAAAAGTGACGTCTTGAGTGGAGTCAAAGGTCGAAATTGCTAGCTAAATGTTTTTTTAGCGAAATTGCGTATTGTACGTTTTTTTCGCAAAACGAAACCCTTAATGGTATTAGCATTTTTTCATGATTTCTAATTATGGTGCTGTATTTTCTTAATTGGGAATGTAGGACAAGTTTACTTGTTAAAATAGCCAAACCACAAAGTGGCAAAACAAAAAGGTGTATAATTTGAGAATAATTAAAGCATTTAATTATTTCATCAGAATATTGATCCACAAAAATCTCGAAAATGTCAAATTTTCTGGATGATTCGTTTTAATTTACATTAGTATTAAAGTCTTTAAAGAGTGTCAATGTTTATTTTTCAGGTGCCAAAAAATTCATCATCGAGATTTTGATATTTTAAAATAACACGAATACAAAAAAGGCTCTTAAATTAAGAATAGGATATAGCTTTAATTCAATAACAAACAAAAAAACATTTAATATCGCAAAAACATATAATAAATTAAATAAAACAATGAGACTAATGATAGTATGGCTGGCCACCCCACTGAGAATTAGATCCTGGTGGGGGTTGTCCAGGTGCAGGTACCCTTGGATAATTAATTTGAGGCGGAGGATAAATGGGCTGCTGAGCATTAACTCCACCTGGTGGCTGTCCCATATATTGTGGAGAACCTCCCATATGGCCTTGATTATAATTCCATCCTCCGTTTTGGTTTGGATACATTGGTACAGGGTATTGGGCTGGGTACATAGGTCCTGCTGTTTGTTGGCTCATTGGATAACGAATATTTGAATAAGTATTTTGATTTGGGGCTTGAGGATTTAAACGCCAGAGGTAATCGGGGATTTGCCATTTCGGTTTTACAAGCATATTACCAAAAGGTGCCTGAAATTCGGCTGTTTGAAATGCGAGATGAATATCTAATAAGACAAGTAGGTCGGATATGCCAGGCCTGGCTGGTTTGAGTGGAAACCACATTCTTACAATCTGATCTTTTGGAAACCATTCTAGTGGCAGAGAAACGCTCGCTATAGATTGATCTGAGTAAACGTTAGCTTCTACTAGATTTATTTCAAAAATTACTTTCTCTGGTGAGTTATATTCGAATCTGTATACGTGATTGCACGACGGCGGAAAAGTATTTGTAAAATTGGCTGAAAGGCCTATACTTCCTGGAGTTAATTTAATTATCATCTTGAAATTACATCCTATAAAGTTTCCCACTGGACGTTGACTCAAGTGGTGGACTCGTACATAAGCTTTCCCCATTTTGTCGCACTTGAGATTTCTAGGAAAAAAAATCGGATCCACTCTAAATTTTTCATGATCGGATTTAATATATTCTACATTTAATGAACCTTGATTTAGGATAAGGGTTTCGTTTTGCTAAAATTGTCACTTTTATAGCATATTTGTTTTTGGATGTTTTGCGAAACCAAAAAAAACTATGATATACAATGTGTGTGTAAAGAAAATACTTTATTTACTAGTTAAAAAATCATTTGGTATTGATCAAGTTATTTTTTCTGGATAAGATATTATATGGATAATTGGATAGAAAATACAATTATATAATCTTGTACCTGGTTTAATTAAGCTAATTGTCATCAGAAACTTGTAATTTTTATGAATTTCAGATTTTCTTTTCATTACTGCTTTTCTTAATAGGTCAAGTTCTTATTTACGTTATAAAGTATGATATTTACAAATATCAAGTTATCATGTTTTTTGAGAAATTATGAGAAACAAACAAAAATGAAAAAGATAGGAATAGCAATGAATAGTGATGTGGGTATAGAAAATGTAAGAGATATGGATGCAAAGCAATCAGTATTTAGGATATTGACCATAGATTTCGAAAAAAAAATGCTGCATATTGAGCGAAAACTATGATTATATTATAAGGCTGTCATTTAAAGCATAATGAAACTATTCCCTTTTCATTTTAATCGAATAAGATAGTAAAGATTTTTGAATTAGCTAGAAACTGATGAGATGTTTTCACAAATCAGATTTTTAATCTCTATAATGCATAATTCACTCAATATCTCAATTTTGATATTGCGAGATATTTTTGCTATCGGTTTCGCAATTTTGACACAATAGCAAGAGGGTTCTATAAGCATTATTATCAACGTAGAATCTGAATATCATATCAGAAAATGTCGCAAATCTGACATTTACCCGACCAAATAGCAAAAATAATTGAATACTTTTCGCAAAAACTTTAAAAATCGATAAAAAATATGAAATATAGATATTAAAGAGACTTTTTATATAATATTCATAAAGATTTTCCAAAAATATGATACCGCAAAATTAAAAAAGTGACGTCTTGAGTGGAGTCAAAGGTCGAAATTGCTAGCTAAATGTTTTTTAGCGAAATTGCGTATTGTACGTTTTTTTCGCAAAACGAAACCCTTAATTCAGATGGCATATCGTATGCTCAATATGTCAGATTTTTTGAGACCAAATTGAAATATTTACACTCACATGATATCACGATATTTCTTTGTGGGTTAAGTTTGATCCATTGTTGCAAATTTAATATAATGCTCTTTTTTCAACATTCAGATCTAGTTTTTGTTGAAAAATCATTAATGATTATCTCTTTAAAACCCTCCATAAATCTATAGATATATTCGTGTACACCAAGTATTTGTGCAACTTTCTTGCTTTTTCACAGAATTTTAGTATCGAATTGAGAAAATTGGGGATCTTTTGTAATAAATCTGATAACTTTTCAGCATGATAAAAGAGTCATGTAACAATCCAAATCATGTGGAAAACAAAGCATTTTACTCCAAAAATATAAAATTAAAATAGCAGATACAAGAAAAATGAGCACTTATCACTCCTCAATGAATCATACTATTTGACCTAAAATTACTATTGAATAATACGTTATTAGATTTTAAAATTAACGTTAATTTTCTTTTTTTTTTAAAGTTTGGATAAAAATGTCTTTCCTATATGACACCTATATTCCCATATATGCACCAAATTTATTCCTTTTAATGAACAATAATTTTATTCTAGATAATGATGAAGGAGTATCACAGATTGAAATTTGGCAATAACAAAAAATACCATACAGAGTGTTGACGAACAATCTTCATCCAACATGCGATTTTTAATTAGATTAGAATAAAATTCTTATTTGTCAATAAATCATTTTAATCAAAGCTTGCTAAATAATATATTTACAATAAGAGCTTGACAAAATTTTCTATAACTTGCGATAGAGAAAAATTGAAAGAAATGGTTTGAGATCAAAATGATCGGGAATTGAGAGTAATCTAAAAGTTCAGATAATTTTATTATGTAATTATGAATAGAGTATATAGCTGAACACATTTTATTTTTTAAAAGGATGAGCGGAAATTTAACGATGAGTCTTCAAATTCTATTTTGCTTCACATCTCGGAATGGTATCTCTTTATCTGTACATTCCAAACCTTATTGGTTATACCCGCATCATCCTTATGTTCGCAGCTTATTATATAGCTGATACACAGCCATATTTGTTCTTCTTATTCTATTTCTTATCTCAATTCTTAGACATGTTCGATGGTATGGCCGCCCGCGCCTTCAACCAATCAACAAAATTTGGTGCACTTCTTGATATGGTTACAGACAGATGCTCTACTGTTGGTTTACTTTTCGTGATCGCTCAGAGATATCCAAAACTTACACTTGCTTGCCATTTCTTCGTTTGGCTCGACATCTTCTCTCATTGGGCTCACATGTTGGCTACACTTAAGGCTGGCAGCGCTTCCCACAAGATCGTTAAGGATGGTCCATGGCTCCTTCGTTTCTATTACGCTGCCCACTGGTTTATGGTTGTTCTCATTTTCGCTGCTGAAGGCTTGCCATGCATGTTATACTTACTTAGCTTCAAAGAGCAAATCCCAGCTATTTGTGTCCAAGTTGTTACCTACCTTGCTTATGCATTAGCACCACTCTTCTTCACAAAGCACTTTATCAATGTTATCCAGTTCTTCCATGCTGCTAACTCACTTGATAAGATTGAGAAGAAGGAGTAAATAGAGAATCTCTTTAATAAACATGTTAAAATAACTTAACTTAATATGACTATCATTTCTTTTTTAAGTATAGAATGTGAAGAAAAACATTTTGATTTGTTTTTAGAAGGATTCTCTTTTCGGACAGTTAAAATAAATTGTGGTAAGTAGTGATGCCAATAATTTCATGCTTTTTTTCTTCATTTTATTTGGTGTTTTCAATTTGATTTCATCTGTAAACTTGACTAAGTAATTTTCGGAGGGCTAGAGTGCCCATCCACCAGAATTGTTTTAGCTGTGGATAATTAAGCTGACAGCATTGTAACATTTCTAGATTTTCTTCGAAAAATAATTTGAAATGAGTTTGATTGATTGCAATTACACCAAATCTTCAAACGGAAATTATTTAATAGATATGAATTACAGCATATGCAATATATCTGAAAGTTTCAGAAGTCAGATTACCAAATTAAGTATAAAGAATTCGCTTTCGAAGGTGTGAGAAGTATAAATCAATTAGTTATTCCTTCAAGTGTTACTGAAATTGGAGATTATTCTTTAAATACTGCTAAACCAATTCCAATATTTATTTATCAATCACATTGTCTATTAACAGCCAATGCTTTTGTGAATTTAGATTCAAACTCAAAAGTTATTATAAATTCCAATTCTCACCCGATCAGTAATCGAAAATTTTGTAGCATACGATTATTTTCCATTGAAAAATTATCACTAAAAAACTTTAAAAAATTAACTTTTATTCTTAATTTCATGTATGAAGGAGGTAGGAAATGACTTTAAGATTGACATCCTATTCATGGCTAAAGTTTTAGGAACTTTGAAGCCTAATTTGATATTGAAATTTTGGAAGATCAATAAATATGGGGATAAAAGTTGCATAACCTTGGACATTAAGAGGACATGTTATGAGAGTGGATAGCGTTCGACGATTCACTGAAAAAGTTACTCCTCGAAAAGACTATCTAAAGCCATCAAGTTTTTTGAATATTTTCTATCGTCTCTTTATTTTTAGTAAATTAGGATGCTCATTAAACAGTATGATTAAATATACAAAAATTTTTAATTTATTTTTCAAGGGAAAATAATCGTACGCTACAAAATTCTTTCGATTCATCATTCAATTGAGAATGATAATTTTGTAGCATATTTAGAAAAATACTCGGTCGCTGGCGCTCCCTTCGCATTTTTCTAAAAAACGCTACAAAATTATTAATTTCAGATCATCCGATGCATTTAATTAATTGCCTAATTTCATTTTTGAGTTATTTTACATTGGATCAGAAGATATTACTGATTCAGAAACGTGTAAAGATATTAGTCAGCATGCACGTACTATTTGTGTTACAAATCATTATAACGGAGATTCATTTTGCAGAAGGCCGGTAACTAGAGAGGTATTTGATGATTTATTAGGACTTGATAAGTGTTCTTCAGCAAAATTTGCTTTGCACTCTTATGCAGAAATAAGAATCCATCTTATCAATTCAATCTCAACCAAATTTATTGGAATTTTCCGCGAAATGTGATGAAAATGAGAGTTGTCAAGAGATATATTTGCTAAAACACAATTTTTGAGGAAATTATAATTAATACCTTTATCTTCCGCGTGTCAAAAGTAATTTGTCATGCAATCGATTTATTAATGATTAATATATTGGGAATATGCCAATCAAACTTCTGAAAACCAAGAATGAGTTTTCATATTGAGCTATTCTTTTTTATTACTATTAAATACATACGGGCTTTTGAAATTCTTAACATTTTGAAATCATTCATATCTGTTAAAGCTATATTTTTAAGCTTTATATCAATGAAATATATAAAAATATAAAAATAAACAAACAATTTAGTTATTTGAGAATGAAAGTCTCAACTTGACCACTATGGAATCTTGATTTAATTTTTGGAAGCTTATTATTTCCAACCATTAAGTTCATTTTGAAAATATTAATTGCTTTTGATTGAGCGCTATAAGAAGATCTATTTCTAGGTATCGCTTGACTTCTGGCTCTTCCTTTTGGAGATAAAACATCTTGAATTTCTTCTGAATCAGAATTAACAGGATCTACAGATTCCTTTTCGAATAATGGCATGCTTAATATCTCTTGGGCTGTTGGTCTTTCATTTGGATCAATAACGATCATTTTATTAATTAGTTCTGCTACTTCGGGAGGTGTATTTGATCGTAATTTATAGGATGCTGTACATATTCGATTTTTGAGTATTGTAAGATTGTCACTTCTCCATGGAGTCATTCCATTAATTAAGAAAGCGAAAAGAACTCCCAGTGACCAAATATCAGCTTGCATTGGATTGTGTGGCTTCTTAAGGATTACTTCAGGAGCTTCGTAAAGGAATGAGCCAGAAAATGCTGAAACGACATTGTTTGCATTTCGTATTGAAATTCCGAAATCGGATAATTTGATGTGTCCAAGGGAGTCAACAAGGATATTTCCGGGCTTGATATCTCGGTGAGCAATGTCTTTTGAGTGAACAAAAGCGGGGGCAGATAAAATTTGTCTACCATAGGTAATAAATTGCGGTAATGGAAGCCCATTTTCTCCAACTGAATCTTGCAAAGATCCATGTTGACAATACTCGAGAATCATGTAAAAATTATTTCCCTCAGTAAAGTGATCATATAACCTAATAATGTTTTGATGAGACAAGCTCATAAGAGCTTTAATTTCAGCATCCAATGGGTCTACATCACCTTCTTTGATTGGTTCGCTATCAATCGGAGTAACTTTTGCAACGTAAGATTGATGATATACCTCGCTTTCTACAAGATAAACCGTTGAGAATCCTCCTTTTCCAATAGCTTTCTTAAAAACGTATGAATGAATTGTTTGAGGAAACTGGGTTATCATTGGCACTTTTTCTTCCAAATTGAAAAGTCTCTTAGAAATATATTTGAAAACGTATTTTTAATAAATATATATCCACTATACAGATACTAAATTTGTTAAAACTACTGATATTTACAATTTCTTAAGGGTGCACACGAGAGGATCATGTAAACTTCAGAATTTAGAACCTTATTTTAGGTATTATCTTGGCTACCTATTTAGGCTCGAAAAGCAAAAAATATCAAAAAATACAACTTGACTCCATTATGACCCTTTCATGGAGGTAGTTTTTATCCGCTAGTATTTTCCCTTTGAATCTCTTTACAATTCGAAATCAAATTCAAACCTCAGTAGAAGAAAGGAAGAATCGACTTACTACGGTTGTAATACGAATAAATACATATATTTAATTATTTTTATTTACATAATAATTGTTTGAAGCTCATATTCCATCAAATTTTTAAATAAAAACATTAAAATGGTGAAAATGTTCATATATTTTAATAGGGTTTTGGCACTTTATTGAGGAATTACTACATACATAGTCGAACTGAACTTGATATTTTGAAATTTAAATTATTTATCAAAATTAAAATTTAACTTGAAATTTATAATTATTTAGTCATATTTTGCATAATTCTAAGTAGATTTTGTAAAAAATCAAGAAAGAAAAATTTTAACGTGCTTTATTTTTTCTTTTTTATAATAATACATATTATTATATAATTAACATATTCATAATGTTTCACCCTTTCAAAAATATAATCCTCCTCTCAAATAAACGTACATACGGGTGGCCTCTTTTTCAAAAAATTAAAATTTGAAATTTTGGGCTCAAATATTAGAGATTTTTTCAACCTTCAACGATATATGTTGTCTATATCAGACCTCCTTTCTTTTTGATACTTAACATTGTTCCTAAATCTTAGCCGTTAAGGCTGTTCTGAAAATATTTTTTTTTCGAAAAAATTCGAAAAAAATTCTTAAAATTCAAAAATCCCTTAATTCCTGAGGATTTTGGAAAAAAAGTTTTTACATGAACATGTGTATATTATATGAAGTAAGGGTTTCGTTTTGCGAAAAAAACGTACAATACGCAATTTCGCTAAAAAAACATTTAGCTAGCAATTTCGACCTTTGACTCCACTCAAGACGTCACTTTTTTAATTTTGCGGTATCATATTTTTGGAAAATCTTTATGAATATTATATAAAAAGTCTCTTTAATATCTATATTTCATATTTTATCGATTTTTAAAGTTTTTTGCGAAAAAGTATTCAAATTATTTTGCTATTTGGTCGGGTAAAATGTGCAGATTTCTGACTTTCGATATTATTCAGATTCTACGTTGATAATAATGCTTATAGAACCCTCTTGCTATTGTGTCAAAATTGCGAAACCGATAGCAAAAATATCTCGCAAAATCTCAAAATTGAGATATTGAGTGAATTATGCATTATAGAGATTAAAATCTGATTTGTGAAAACATCTCATCAGTTTCTAGCTAATTCAAAAATCTTTACTATCTTATTCGATTAAAATGAAAAGGGAATAGTTTCATTATGCTTTAAATGACAGCCTTATAATATAATCATAGTTTTCGCTCAATATGCAGCATTTTTTTTTCGAAATCTATGGTCAATATCCTAAATACTGATTGCTTTGCATTCATATCTCTTACATTTTCTATACCCACATCACTATTCATTGCTATTCCTATCTTTTTCATTTTTGTTTGTTTCTCATAATTTCTCAAAAAACATGATAACTTGATATTTGTAAATATCATACTTTATAACATAAATAAGAACTTGACCTATTAAGAAAAGCAGTAATGAAAAGAAAATCTGAAATTCATAAAAATTACAAGTTTCTGATGACAATTAGCTTAATTAAACCAGGTACAAGATTATATAATTGTATTTTCTATCCAATTATCCATATAATATCTTATCCAGAAAAAATAACTTGATCAATACCAAATGATTTTTTAACTAGTAAATAAAGTATTTTCTTTACACACACATTGTATATCATAGTTTTTTTTTTGGTTTCGCAAAACATCCAAAAACAAATATGCTATAAAAGTGACAATTTTAGCAAAACGAAACCCTTATCTGAATTGAGATTATTTCCTTTTTTAAATGATTTTTCAAATTTTAGTCAAAATAAAATGACTTCAAAAATAGCAAATCACTTTGATGGTTAGGAGTGTAATAGATTACATTTTATGATTCTTATATTAATCATTTAATCGATCAACGGAATTTTTTACCAGTCATTTCCTTTAAAGACAAGTTTTCCATTATTATTTGATTTCTAAATTTGAATCGTTATATTCCTTACACTGAATTTTTGAATATCTTCGGAGTTTGCATTGAATTGAATTTCTCTGAAACACAAATTGCATGAAAATGCAAAAGTTCAATGCAACTTACGTACCTCATTTCAAATCAATGATAAAGTCATGGAAGAAAATATAATTGAGAGCTATTTGTAAAAGTATCTACACAATTATGTAAAAACGATACATATGATTCAATTCACCTATAATTTTCATTTATGTTTCTTTTATTCTCCTCTTTATCTCTATCGGTTCAAGTTCAAACCGGAAAACATAGCGCCTTTCTGGTCAATGGTAAACTTCAATTAACCGTACCACCAACTCCTTTTAACATGAGAAACTATTTAGTCATTATGAACTCGAACGAGTTTAAAGAAACTATGACAATTAATACAGGTGAATTACCTCTTTTGCTCGAGCCCAAGGGAAATGCTACTGAAGTTTTCTATTTCTTTGATGCATTTCCAAAGCCAGCACATGTGGAATTTATCATTGGAAATTGCCCATTTTCTCTTACTCCTGTTTCCAAATTCGCAAATGTTTTTAACTATTATATTGTTCTCCTTCCAACGGTGAATGATTTATCTTATCACCTAGAACCAGAGATTAAACTTGGCGCATTCACATATGGTCCTTCATGGGCACAATCAGATATGTACCCAATTGGACAAGTTATGGATCTTCCGGTTTCTGCCAGTGAATATTCAGTTATTAAATTTGAAGGAAATGGTGATAAAACGCCGAAATTAAACATCGGACATGTTATCGTGAAATCTGGAATTCCAGGAGTAACGATTTTCCAATACGGATGCCATACAGATCTAGATCCAATTACAAAAGTAAAGTACTTTGATCAAACAGTTGATGGTGCGGTATATCCTGCAGGACCAGATGTACTAGAAACACTTCAATGGGGTATTAACGATGTAGTTTTCCCATATAAGTTTGAAGATGAAGTTTATAACTGGATCCATATCCAATACAGGCTACCACAATATAGTGTTTTGGTTACAATGAAGACAAACAAAGATGAGCCTTTTAACGGCACATATTGGTACTCAAATCCACCAGATTCTGGTGCTGGGACAATACATAAAGAAAATGTTGCCTTCTTTACTAATGTAGCAAATAATCATATTGATTTGTTTTCTAATAGAAATCAAATAGCAAGATTTGTCCTTTTCAACATTTCGCAAATTGGCCCGATAGATAATTACGAAATCATCCTTAGTTATAAAACTTATTCAACAACATTTGATTTCAACAAGTCTTATGTAGTTTTCGTTCCAAATCCTTCTCAAATTAATTTTGGATTCCTAACTAACAGATACAAATACGAGATACATGGTGCAGATGGAGAAACAACAACAGACACATCAAAGCCATACTACCTTTATCTTACAAAAGACAAGAAATATGAAAGTCAAAATGCCTATTTTCATCCAGCTGTCGAAGTCGACAACAATGCACTCTATGACGTAGCTAAATCGACAAGTCAGAATCCAACAGATCCAGTAGTTCTTATGGGTCTGCACAGAGAATGGCCACCTTTGCTTACTAATAAACAAATATTCATTATAGCAGCATGTGCCGCCGGCGTTCTCTTCATTGTCATTATCATATGTGCTTGCTGCTGCTGCAAGAAAAAGAAAGGAAAAGGAAAGCATTCATCGTCAAGTGGAGATAAAGTCTAAATTATTTTTATTTGTATAAGAAAATCAGAAATTTGAATAAATATTCATTTTAAAATGTTTATTATGGTGCTTTTTCAATTGTTTTAGTCAAAAATTATCAGATTCAGTAAATCAATTCAGGAAATCTGTACAAACTATTGCATTTATATTAGATTATATCATTATTACAAAATTTATGAGGAAAACTGAAAGCTTACGTATATTTCAGGAGAATCAAATAAAAATAAAATTAAAAACTCACATTCTCTATATTCAAATGGAAAAATAGTAGATATAGTACAATATAGTGATATTTTAAGAGCCAGACTTCCTTTTAAGACAGTTCGCTTGAAATTTTTATTCATTGCTGGAAATTGTTATAAGATAAAAAGCAGATTTTATATTAAATTATTAAGATGAATTTAAATTTAAAATTTTGATTTCATAATCAAAATCATTTTGAGATTGCACAATAAACAATTTCAAATACAAAATAATTTTCATTTGGTTGCTTTTAATTAAGTTGTGGAACTGAATGTAGTTGATTGCTATTATTTTTGGTTGGATGATGAATAGAGAGAATATTGACGGCCTCGGCATTATTATTTTCGTTTGAATAATCATATGCACTTTTATCTTGATCATCCGTTGCTGTGAAATTAATTTTTGGTAAGAAACTTAAATATTTGATAACTTCTGTTGAATTAAATTTGGCGGCATATATCAAAGGAGTCATTTTATTATCATCTATTGCATTGAGATCAACATCAATTCGTGAACAAATAATTCTGGCAACTTCTAGGTTATTAGTTTGAGCTGCGTAATGAAGTGGTGTCATGTTATTCTCATCTTTAGAATTAATGTCAATTTTACTGTTGGAGCACATATACTTTAAAATTTCATGATAATTTTCTTGAATAGCGTAATGAAGAGGTGTCTTTTTAGAATATTGATCTTTGGCATTAACATCAATACTTGGAATTGAACAAAGACATTTAACAACTTCTATTTTATTTTCTTGAACTGCGTGATGAAGAATTGTACCTCCATCTTTGTAATAATATTTTGCATTGAAATTCGAGTGAGAAACTAATATTTTCATTAGTTCGGCATTATCTGTGTTTAATGCATGTTGAAGAGCTGAAATACCGTTCCGATTAATTGCATATATATCAGCATTTGGAAGAGAAAGAAAGAATTTGACTGCATCAATATTATTCCTTTGGGCAGCATAAAGAAGAAAAGATGAACCATATTTATCAGTCACTTGAGTGTATTCACTCATACATGCAAATTTAATTGCATTTGTATCATTATATAGGTTGCAATTTAGCAATATATCATAGATTTTATCAAAATCTGATGAATTTTTTTGACAATCTAGCAAAAATTTTATATTCTTGCTCACATTTGGCTGAGATTCTGCTTTTTGCAATTTTATGAAAGTTGAAATATCAAGGAGAATTCTATTGTTTAATATTCTAGAAATAAAATTTAAAATTTCAAACGCCGTTTCTGTGTTTTCGAAATTGCCTATTTTTGCATGTTGCATGATAGAATGAACTTCTGAGAACTTGAATTTATTACTTATGATTGTGAATGGATCAAAAAATTGTTTGGTCGAGAATAAGCAAAGATCAAAAATCAACGACAACTCCGTAACTGATCTCATGCCAATGAATTCCTCATTATTGTACCAATTCCCAAAATCTTTAGCATATCTTTCATAATCAATAGAACACATTTTTTTAAAAAAATTGACACATTTTGACTTTGTGATTTTAGCAATGATTCAATCCAGTTAAATCATAGAATAATAGATTGTCCTCAATGCATTCCAAGCAAAAATGTGCTGTGATAAGTTTGAAATTAAGAATTGACACATATTTCTTTCATTTTTTGGTCTGTCTCCCGATAGAAATTGAATTGAATTCAGAAAATTTTGATTATCGCTTGTAATAAAATTAATCTGGTATTGTGTGTAGCGGATTTGAAAATCTTTAACATTATTTTTATGACAAATTTTCTCTTCAAAAAAATTTACTCAAACTGATCGTGAATTCATTTTAAAGATGTCTTTCATTCCAAGGTATTGCCTAGAGACACCAACTAGTTACAAAAATAAAATACCTTATGGTAACAATAGTGAAACAGGAAAATACGTTGTAAATCACAATACAAAAATTTATTATGAAATGTACGGTCAAGGAAAACCAATAGTTGTTTCACATAGTGGTGTTATCGGATCAATCCAAGAAATGGGTGAACTTATTGATAATTTATCAAAGAGTTATCTTGTAATTGCCATTGCAACTAGAGGACAGGGCAAATCAGAAATAGGCAATGATATTCCTAGCTACGAGTTGAAGGCATCCGACGTTAAGGCTGTTGTTGATGCTACAGTAAAATGTCCAGTAACTTTAATTGGATTCAGTGATGGTGCTTACATTACATACTTCTTTGCTGCTCAATATCCTGAGCTTACAGAAAAGATTGTCTGCATCGGAGCAGGAGAATGGAAAAAGAATTGGAGAGTAATTCCGGAATTTGAGGTATTTAGAAAGAGAGATGAATTATATTGGGAAGAACAGAAGAAAATCCGTCCAGAGCCTGATAAAATGAATGAATGGTATCAACCTCTTAAACAATATTATGAAAGTTTGATAATTGGCGAAGAAATTTTCGGTAAAATCCAATGTCCAACACTTGTAATGGCAGGAGATAGAGATCCTAATGCTCCTTTGCAAGCAATTGTTGATGCCTTCAAAATGTTGAAAAATTCGCAATTGTCAATCATTCCAAATGCTTACCATGCAGTTCTCAATCAGAATTTTGATCAAGCATTCCCAATCATTCTCAATTTCATTACGAAATTTGAAAATTAGAATAAATAACTATTATACAGAATATTCTTCTTCATTGCTATCCATTGCAGTTACTCTTTTTGAAAATTTATAATGAAAAAACAAAAAGATAATCTGCATTTCAATCCGATTCAGAGATTGATATATTTTTTAGACTTATTTCCAATGTGGTCATATTAAGAATTCTAACATTATGAATTAGCTGATTTAATTTTGAATTCATTTGAATCATTCAAATCTTGTTATTCTTAAACTAGCATCACCAAATGACAATTCATATTGAATGAGCACTATTAAACAAGTTTTTCCATTGATTTCGAAATTAAATAATCTGAAAATACCCTTGTTTGGATATATATTGATGTATAGAAATTGTCTACATATTTTTGACAAGCTTAATATGTTTAAAATATCTTATTAATATTTGTAATAATTAAAATTTAGAAAATTAAAAGCATATTAAACTCGTGCGGGATTTTCTTCATCTTTGTCGAAATCTGAAGAACGATCTTGATGTGTATTATAATATTCAATGGCTCGATCAGTTAAATTATCTTCAAAATCCTCTTCTGCGTCACTGGCTGGTCCATTCAGCATCAAAATAAATGCCCATATAAAAGAGATAAAGAAAAATATATAAACAAGAGCATATATTGCAAAAAATATGAGCCAAAATATCAATTCAAGTTCATCCATTTTGTCGTTTTTATAATTGTGGGATCCCGGACGATGAGAAGCCTTTCTATGTGCTTTAGTGCGGCAATCACATAACATATTACAGAGCTCAAAGCCACAACAAATTCCAGCACATTTCATTCTATGAGCAGGATTAACTTTATTTTTCTTTTCATGTTTGTAGTAAAAGCTGATTGATGCATCATAAACTCCCTTGCAGCAGCAGAAACAACATCTATAGAGCATTCCTGCTCAAATAGCTCTATTCGGGAAAATGCAACAACAGCAAGTGTATAGTAATGCTGATATTACAGTAAGACCTCCCCAAATGACAATAACATATATTATCAGTTTCTTATTTGATTCACTGAGGGACAATATTTTTCTTGCTTTATTTATGTCTGTAACTTCGGATAGACGGATATGAATATTTTGCTGTTGCCTTGATTTGATGACAATAACACCTTTACTTTCATTGAAATACAATCTTGATTCGGTTTTTTTATTTATTTTTGACATTAATTTCGGATGTTTTTCAGAAGTGTTATAAATTAAGACTTGGAATGAGTCTTTTTCTTTGATTGATAAATTAAATAATTGTGAAGAATTAGTTTCGAAATCATATCTAATACATGAATTTTTGCCTTTTTGAACTTCGATTGAGAGTTCAGTCGAATTGTGTGTGTATGAATACTCTAAATCGCAATGGAAATCAAGTGATTTAGCTACGAAAATGTTTCTTAACATTTATTGACAAAAAAATAATTAAAATCGCAAGGTTTTTGTTAATCTTTAGAAATGCAACGTTTTATATAAATTTAATGAAGTCCATATTATACAATGGTTGCTCAACGCTCAACTTTTAATTTTTTACATCAGTATTCAATTTTTTAAGTATACTATTGAAAATTTGTGAATTCGCTTGAATTTTGACGTTGCAATTCAAATTCAATGAATGACATCAAAAATGATTTTGAATCTCTTCTTTTTTCGATTTCTTTCCTAATATTACATAAAATGATGAATCGTTGGCTTAGACACACTTAGTAACGTTTCAAATTTCATTTTTTTTTACCAAAAATGAATAAAATCAATAAATAAAATTAGTCCCCAATAGCAAAAAGGATTCTTTCATTTGGGGATTGATATGTAAAAAAAAAATAATATTGCGATTCTAAAATTCAAAAGTTATGAATTAATTTGTGATCACTTAGAGATCAACCCAAATATTAGAGGTGGAATCACATTCAATATAATAATTGTAAATAAAATGGGAAAAAATGTAAGAAATAAATCATTTAATTACGATATTATCAAATGTAAATATTTTCTCTATTTATTTCCATAAAGGAATTCTTCGAAAAATGATTTGATTTTATATTTTTTTTTCTAAACATTTTTGTGAATTAAATTTAAAAGATCTTAGTGTTATGCTTTTCTAATTGATTTCTCATTAGAGCAAAATTATGTTAGCAAGAATCACCAATTCCAAATTACTCATAAAGGATAGGTTTAGTAGAGATTCACGCACAAATATTTTTTCTATTTCTCAAACGTTTCATTCAGTTTAATTGTCATTTGCATAGCATTTGAAGAAAAATAAAAATTAATTCTCATGCAAAAATAAACGATTATTATTGATTCAAACATGAGATTATATAAAAGCAAAAATAAACATAAGCTTGAGAATCGAACCCTTGTTTCATTAAAAAAACGCATCAAAATTGTTAATATGACAATACTCAGATTCTCTGGCATACGATTATTTTTGCTTTTAATGCCTAACAGCGTTTGAATCAAAAATAATCGTATGCCCGAGAATTACGCTTTTCCAACATTTTTGGGTCGCATGGCGCCCATGACAAAACATCGGAAAAGTGTATAATTTTTTGCATATCTGATATAAAATTAAGACTTCTCATAGCTTGATCAAATAAAATATTAAATAGAAAAAGAGAAGAACTCCCAAACTAAACTTGAAATACTTCGCGTCCGATACAGAAAAAATGAGACGCGAAGGTTATGAAAAAGAGTTTAGAGGCCAATCCCAAACCCTGCTCATGTTAAGAATAGAAGTACTTATATGAGGGAATATGATAGCTTTGTTTATTGCGTTTATTGTGATATCCAATGATATATTTTCACACCAAATTTCATAGTTGAAGGATCAAGGTTGTGTCATAAAAAATTGAGAGTGTGTCAGAAAGTAGTAAGTTCACACATTAAAAAAAAGAGAAAATGGATTTAAGAAACTTAATTTTAACGAAATATAAATAGTAAAGTTTATTCTCTAAGAAGTCATAGATAAAAATATATTTAAAAGTGGATCACCAGCAGATTCTCTGATATCATTATGATTTATGTCTCCTGATTCAATACACTTTTGAATGTATTTTGGAATGAAATTTCTGAATCCTGATAAAGAAGAATCAGAATAAGAAAGAATTATTACGTTATTAAGGACAGGAAAAGCAAAATTCTGCGGGATCATCTTGTAGGATGACTTGTAAACAACAGAAATGGCTGTGGAACGTTCAATGAAGTATTTATCTGTTTGATTATTCGATAAACAGAAGAAAGGTATTTCAAAAGACTTCAGAATCGAATAAACAGATGTAGAATCAATAAAATACTTCTTTGTTTCATTGATGACGTTAAATGACTTTTGTTGGAAATCATTCAATAAATTTACATCGCAAAAAGTCATTGTAACAAGGAAATCTCTCAAAGCGCTTTGAGAATATTGCAGAATAAGCAATGGATCATTCATAGAAACAGAAATTGAGATCGCACAGTCAAACATTCGTTCCCGCTCAAATTCCACGAGAAGACTTGGTGACATGATGTCGAAACGCTCTGAAATAAACTTGATCGTTTCGTTTTTGTGGAATTTTATGAGGAATTTCGTGTAATTTACATAATCTTCATTAATAAGCGGTAAACTTGCGAATAACTTCTTGTTTGTTTCACAAAGACTGTGTGCAAATGCAAATTTCTTGTCTCCAGGAAGTTTTGAGTAAATTTGGTTTGAAATTTCCTGATTTTTCATTAAACCAGCTAATTTAAGCTGATCTACTGATAGCAATAGCTCACAGTTCTCTACTATGGCATCATCAACTGCTTTTGTTTGTGATTTTTCGGAAATTACTTGGAAAATTTCTGATTTTCTGTCTTTTATGAATAAAAACTTAATTAATCTGTTCAAATCATTCAGTTTTCTATAGATAAGCTCTTCTACATTATCAAAACCGGCTTTAACTATAATTGGTTGTAACTTTCTCAAAAATTCTGAGTAACCGTTTTGATTCAAAAATTGAGAGATTTCTTTTTCACTGTTTTTATTGAAAATCTCTCTCAGAACGAAAGTTGTTAATTGGTCAGGCAAATTCTTCGCGTATTTGATGGCTTTTTCAACACAGAATTTTGTGATTTGAGGAGATTTGACGTAAATTGCGAATTCGAGTATTTTTTGGCAAAATACGTCGAGGTCGTATGGTTTCCCTTGTGTCATAAGGGTAATTTTCTCACAAAAAGATAAAATTTGGCAAATTTCGGATTCACCTCTGTTTTGGAAGATTCTGAGCAAATCATTCAACCTCAAGGCCTTTGATACGCATATTGTTGCATCTGTAATAGAGTTGGCCTGTGTTCTTAAGAGAGTTGGCAAAGATTCTGATGAATCATCCAAATTTACAGAAAGATTATAAGCTGTTGGAGTATCAAGTTGTTCTATAGTTGCTAAAGCTTCTTTGGTGTTTCCTGTCCTTAAAAAGAAGACAGATTTTGTAAAAAGTGACAATGAAGGTAAATTTCGAATAAATTCCGGATTTGAATCCGTATTTTCACACAACAAGTTACTGAACTGTGTTGGGTAATAGAAAATACTTGCATCCGGATCGTATTTTGGTATTAAATTAGCAAATTCTTTAATATTATTTTTAAATTCATTCAAAGCAAGTATTGAAGGTAATCTTCTGAGAGAAAACTCTTTAGATGTTTTAATTATAAGCTCTATTATGTCTTGCGATGCTTTATTTGCGACAAAATACTTGGAAAATACTGATTGAATGATTTCTGTGCGAGTTTCAAATGGTAAGCAACTGTCGCTGCCTGAAACTATGTTACCTTTCGAAAATTGTTCCGAAATCTCATATAAATTTTTGTAATCTTGAATGGTCGAACAATTTTCAACGAAAGTACGCTGTTTTATGGCGAATAATGAACTTTCCTTAGCTATGTATAATGTTTTATCAATTGGATTTGGCACGTAAATGGCTTGAGACAAATTATCATCTGAAAAAACTTGTGGAGTCGTAGGATTTGAAGAATTGAATACGTAAAACGAGTTATTAAATGATGTAACAAGTAATAGATCATCTCTGATGAAATTACAGCATCGTGGAGAAATATTATTAATCTGACAATGAGAAATCTCGGTTAAATTGAATCCATTCAGAGTGTAAACGACTGCTAAGTTCTTTGATGCAAGTCCTATTTGTAAAACATCAGGTTGATTTAAAGAATAAGTTGGAATCGCGCTTTCTATTGGAATACTTGCTAAAACTTTTGAACTCTCGCAATTTAGAACAACAAACTTCTCATTTGTTGTTACAAGTATTAAGTTTTGTAATTTCTGCGTGAAGTTTGATAAATTATTTGGAAAATTTACAGGAATTAACGATATTGGAGGAGTTTGGAATGTACAAATAACGAAGTCTTTTGCAGAAACGCCGAATAATCCGATTGATATCTTTGTCAGAGTCAGAGAATTATTTGAATCTAAAATCACGATTTGGTTTTCTCCTAAATACATAATCTGCTTAATCCCAGCTTTTCTCGCTTTGGGAAATGATTTCAGTAGCTTAGCATTCGTTATATCGAAAATTGAATAAGAACCATCTTCGCATGCAACAGCTGCATGAGAATTTGAAGGAGATAATGCTACATGATATGGAGGAGAGACAATTGACTTATCTGTTAATGCTAATCTAACTAATTTATCAGTTTTTGTGGAATATAGCAAAAACTGTCCTCCATTATCAAGAATTAGCATGAAATCGTCTTTTATATCGCAATCAATTGGATGTCTTTCGAATATTGCCCGTGGAAATTGCTCAAAAGTTAAAAATTTATTCATATAAAATCCTATTGTCACTTTTTGAGCGGTATAATCAGACTTACAGTTTGAATGAAGATCAGAGGTTAAAAATAAGAAATAATTACATGGTTTATTCAGTCAACAAATTATATATAACAAACAAACAAAAATAATACAAAATTAAGGATTAAAACGTAATTGGTACAATATTAAAGCCAATGTCGGATATATTCGATCTGGATCTATTGGCGCGTTTCAACTGTAAGCTCTTTAGCTTCCTTTTATATTCTTTATCATTTTGTTCGTGAATATTCTGTCTTTTGATAAATTCTTCTTTCTGCTTCTGTGCAATCTCTTCTGCTCGTTTAAAAGTCGCTTTATTCTTTTCTCTTATGCTCTCGATTCTTGAACGCCTGTCGAATAAGCATGAATTTTGACATGGATTGTGCGCTGACTTGAGTACAACTTTATTAGCTTGCGGCTCAGAAGTTGATTGTTCTGGACAGTTATTCATCGCGTAGTAGCTCTTTACGATTTCTCGTGACTCTTCGGTATTAGATAATATTGCATCGCGTAATCTTTTGATTTGAGTTCGGATAGTTTGAATATAATTCATTTGATCAGCTGATGGTTGTTGTGGATCAATAAAAAGAGATGATGGCTCGACTTTGAGCATATTTATTGCTATAACAGTAGCTTCTTCTGTGAAATTCTGTCTTTTTCGAGGGTTATAATTGTCGATAGAAATCGGTATTAAAGGTTGGCAGCGTTTCGGTGATGGTGATTTGTGTGTTCTGGGTGAAACTGGTTGCGTTAGAGGTTGAGCGGGTAGTGGTTTCAATGATGGAAGTGGAATTAAATTTTGTTGAATATCATATGGAGAAGGGCGTGGTAAAGGTATGTCGGCAAATACAGAGCCTTGAAGCGCGCTGGATGAAGGAAAACAATATGTAATAGGTGGATCAGGCTTAAAATTTTCCTTCATTGATTTTATAAATTGCGATTATTTTCAATTCAAATTGCAAAAAACGGAATTTCAGATAATTCAGTAATCATAAAATCTGAGAATTAGCATATTGTGCTCATTTTATTTTATGAAAAATAAAACTCATTCAAAATTAAATATCATTGAAATTTTTGAAATAATTCACGGGAATATTCATAGTTGCTAGTTTATCAATAATATAATTCGCAAATTTTGTAATTTGTGAGCATTTTAAATTCTTGGCAAGATTTTGAGAAAATAATATGAATAAACTTTTGTTATGAATAATAAATGATTTTCGCGAATTTTGACAACTTTTAATTGGATTCAAAATTATCGTAATTACGATTATCGATCCCAGCATATATTGCATTTCTAATTTGCTGGAAATGATTTCCAGCAATGAGAGGTGTTTACTGCTATATCAGTATTGCTCTATTCCAGTCTTGACATAGACTGTGCATAAAAAATAAAAGATAAGAGTCTTTATTCAAATATTGGTTTTCATAACATCAATTTAACTTGAATAAAAATGCTTTGATAGTGTTAAGCATACACATATCTCTAATATTTTTCAAAAAATAAATATATTTGTATGTTAAATCATTGGAAATGGTCAAAAGTATATAACCACTAATAAATCTGATAGGATTTATTTACTGTGGGGATAACTATGTCTTTCACAAACTGCCCAATTTAAAAATAAAGGCAAGCTGCTGATAATGAATAACTATGTTTTGTTTTTGTTAAATAAAGCCATATTAAGGGTGCACCCGTATGTACGTTTATTTGAGAGGAGGAGGATTACCCTCTCAATTTTGAGGGATTCGTTAGTTTATTTTCTCGATGAATATGCAATAAAATTTGATTTTTACCTTATCAATATACTTCATATAATATACACATGTTCATGTAAAAACTTTTTTTCCAAAATCCTCAGTAATTAAGGGATTTTTGAATTTTAAGAATTTTTTTCGAATTTTTTCGAAAAAAAAATATTTTCAGAACAGCCTTAACGGCTAAGATTTAGGAACAATGTTAAGTATCAAAAAGAAAGGAGGTCTGATATAGACAACATATATCGTTAAAGGTTGAAAAAATCTCTAATATTTGAGCCCAAAATTTCAAATTTTAATTTTTTGAAAAAAGAGGCCACCCGTATGTACGTTTATTTGAAAGGAGGATTATATTTTTGAAAGGGTGAAACATTATGAATATGTTAATTATATAATAATATGTATTATTATAAAAAAGAAAAAATAAAGCACGTTAAAATTTTTCTTTCTTGATTTTTTACAAAATCTACTTAGAATTATGCAAAATATGACTAAATAATTATAAATTTCAAGTTAAATTTTAATTTTGATAAATAATTTAAATTTCAAAATATCAAGTTCAGTTCGACTATGTATGTAGTAATTCCTCAATAAAGTGCCAAAACCCTATTAAAATATATGAACATTTTCAACACTTTAATGTTTTTATTTAAAAATTTGATGGAATATGAGCTTCAAACAATTATTATGTAAATAAAAATAATTAAATATATGTATTTATTCGTATTACAACCGTAGTAAGTCGATTCTTCCTTTCTTCTACTGAGGTTTGAATTTGATTTCGAATTGTAAAGAGATTCAAAGGAAAATACTAGCGGATAAAAACTACCTCCATGAAAGGGTCATAATGGAGTCAAGTTGTATTTTTTGATATTTTTTGCTTTTCGAGCCTAAATAGGTAGCCAAGATAATGCCTAAAAATAAGGTTCTAAATTCTGAAGTTTACATGATCCTCTCGTGTGCACCCTTAAGGCTAGGCATCTAGATTTAACATGATTTTATTTCAGAATTTTATGAATTTTAGTTTTCATAGCCTTCATGAATACAAAATATACCACTCAGTTCTATAAATTAGAGTTCTCTTCTTCTTTTGGTGAGAGATTTGAATTAATTTAATCATCATATTTTGTTTTCCAAATTGAGAGTTTTTTAAACAAATATATTATGCATCAAAATGTTAATTTAATTGAATTTATATTCCAGAACACCTGTAAAAATTTCAATGAATACAAACTTGTGCAATGAAAAGTGTACTTTTTCAGAGTTATCCATTATTTCCCCAAGATATTTTATGTAACATAAATACTATCCATTATAATACGATTAAAATCCTAATTACATACGACGTGTATTATGGAAAACGATAGTTTTTTTCAGAGTGATTGAAAATGTGTTTTTGAATGAAAATAAAATCAATCTTGTTAACTAATATTGTGTTGTATTCTCAATACTTTAGTGTGAACCAAAAATATGCGTCTGATTCATTCAATTGCTTGGGATTTTCTATTTGAAAAGGAGAAAAAAAAATTCTAAGAACATAAAAATCAAGAATGTTCCTTTTCTTTGCGCGTCTTGGGAGTTCACAATGTGAAATTGAAATCACAAATTACAATGGGGATGTTATTTCCCCTGATAACTATTCAACAAATACAGAATGCTTCAAGATTAAATCAAAAAATTGTCAAAATGTCAGAGTTACACCTGAACAAGATATTTCACATGGAATATATGAAGCAGGAACATATATTATTGCGGCTCAAGGAACAGAATCTGAAGAAAACAATGTTTCAATTACAGTCACAATTAACACAGTCCCTGTTAAAGACAGAAATTACTATTATATTATCAATCATTGTGGAACATTTCCGGTTATAACATCTTTCTTTTACGTCATCTTCAACTTGACAAATAATATTAAAGGAGAATTTCAAATTGGAAGGCCAAATACTTTTAACTTTACAAAGATAAAGGAGAACTATCCGCATGCACAATACTTCCTGGAAAATGGCGAAGCTGAACATACATTTCATTATATTCAAAAAATTGCCCATGAAGATCCAAATGCATATTTCCATGTTCGTGTTGATGATATCAGAATTGGACAGCCATTTTTCTGGTTATTGAATCAAGGAATTCATCAGTCTCGCTATGAAATTCATCTTTGTTCTGATGGAACAAACACTTACAAAAAATTCCTTGATTTCAAACTTAATACATTGGAAGGATGGAATAAAATTGCAGAAGAATTCAAAAAATTCTATGATCAAGCACTAATAGGAGCTTTAAATATTAATAAAAAGATTGCAAACTGTGATATCCGTAATTGGAGTTTTATTTTTGCTGCAATAACTTATCCAAATATTTATCTGGAATTATCTAACCCTGAAATGATTACAACAGAAGAAGAACAACTCAAAGAAACTTTCAAAAAGATGAAAATGATCAAAATTGATATACTTGGAATAATTAATTCTCAGCCAGAAGAAAAAGTGGATTATCTTTATGAAGTTTCAAAAATAAATAGAGAAGAATATAGAAAGAAATATTTCTCAAATTATGGAAAGAAGACATGTTTCATATTGACAACAAATCCGGTTAATGAGACTCAAATCAAAGTTTTCTTTACAAGAACTGTGAAAAAATATTCTAATTATACATTTGTTGCAAAGCCTCATCCGAGTGCTCCTTATTCGAAAAATTTGTCTGAATGGATGAATAATGAAGTAAAAGTGATTCCGTTTGAAGGCGAACAGATACCTGCAGAGATTATATACTCTGCATTTGCCGGCAAAGTTAAAGTTGGTGGATATCCAACATCTACATTTACTTCTGTCAATTTGGATGATGTACTTTTCATTTATATTGAAAAAATGGATAAGCTATTCCCTCCTTTAGATACATTCGTAGAAAGGAAAATGATCAAAGGAGAATTAATGAATTTTGAAAGTCTTGTTGAAGAATATCCACAATGCATTCCATCTCTATCTCCAACTCCAAGTAATGACAAAAAATCCAAATTCTTGAAGATTGGAGTTCCAATTATTTCTTTTGTTTGTGTCGCAATCATTGTTGGTATTGTTATATTAGTTATCTATTTTCGTAAACACAAAAAGGTTGTTGATGAATCAGCACCACAACCATAAATAAAAAAGATTTTTATCTCAATATAATACAATTATATATCAAATGCCATTAATGAGTATGTTAGAACTGCATTAAAGGTTGTCAAAAAATGCATATGACAAGCACGTTTTTTGTACTTGTAGGAAAAGCTTAACAAGCCACCGTGTGAGAGGAAAATTGAGTAATTTCTTGCACAAAAACATAGAAATGTAAAATCATTGAAAGTGGAAAAAATATTTTAACTCCAGAATGTTTACTAGTATTTATTTTCTGACAAAAAGAGTCTCAGAAAGTACTTAAACAATAGTACTTTTTGTAGACATTAACTTAACGATGCATCTACAACTTTCTGACACACTCTCAATCTTTTTTCAACCCTGGAAAATAATTGAGAAGATTTTACATGGTATTTGCCGGCAAATGCCATGTAAAACTATCAAAAGTGTGATCCTTATGACTGCATGAAAACTCACTCACGTTAAGAAAATTTTTTGAAATCTGCGACATGTTTGCAGCATCAGAACGGAGTATTCTTGATATCATATGACTGATTAGTTATACTATTTTAAAAGTAGATATGTTTAGTGCGTGGCCAAATGATGTTTTATAAACATTGATAGCAATGTTTTTGATGTCTTTCATTTTTAATCTTTTTTCTGATACTTTCTTTTTATAAAAATATGTAGCAGAGCATTTATCTGTAGTATAATGAGATATAAATGAATCTAATGGATATCCTGTTTCAAATGTTTCCGGAAAAAAATCAAACTTTAGAGTTTGATTTACATCATTATTATTAAAGTAACAATTATCAAAAGTTGGTTTTACTGCAAATAAATAGTTTCCTTTATTTCCTATGAATGAACAATTTGAATATGTACATGAAGTATCACACCAAATTATTGCATCACCATTATTTGTATCTTCATTGTTTAAATAATTACATTTTTTAATATTTAAATTACCATAATTTGCTAACACACCTTGTTTTTTAGATGATGTATTTGATATTGTTGTGAAATTAATAATTTCTGCTTCTTTTGAACTGTGAATACGATATGCAGCACATTCAGTAATTTCATAGTGATTAGATGTATTCATATTACTTACTTTGATATCTCCTTTGCATTGTGATACTGAACATTCAAATGCATAACTTTTGTTGGTACTTTCATCATATAATTCAATTTCATATGCACATCCCCATTTATCGCTTGATGAAAGTAAACAACAAATATGAACTAAGATACAATCAGATTCTTTGATACAGAATGATCCACCGTAATCTGTGGAACTATTGTTGTAAAATGAGCACGATTCAATTAAAACTTTGCTGCTAGAATTAAGGTAAATTGCTCGATTTTGGCGATGGAAAGCAAAAATTACATCATGAATGTAATAATTACCGCTTCCTGATATTGCTTCGTTCTCTTTTTTGTCATGAAAAGGAACTGTGCCGTAATATTCTGAAAAACTTCTTCCAAGGAGAAAATCGTCTTGTAACTTGAATAATTTCGCATTTCTATGCATTGATCAATGCAAATAGGCATGATATTATTGCAATATTAAATTTTAATGTTGTATAGTCGTCAATTTGATTAAGGTTAAAATTAAATAAAAAGTGACTAAATAAAAAAAATCCATCATATCACTCAAATTAGCTCAAACTAAATTATTAAAGTTAGCAATACTATCACTGATAAATATTCAATTATGTCAAAAAAAAGTGAAAGTTAAGGGTGCCCTATAGACGATAGACCACCCTCAGAAAAGCACTTTTAAGGTTATTATATTGAGAACTAGAATCCGGATAATCCATTCATTCGAGTTCTAATAAGGTTAATTTTGTGATGTTTACATTATCGTTATAGGGCACCCTTAAGTGCACTTAACACTCTCTGGCATTGTCTCAATTTTTTTGAAAACCAAACCTTAATTCCCAATTTTCTAATGTTAGAAGTTAATATTCTCAGGAAAAAGTTCTTATTAATCACTATAACCTGATATAGATGTAGATGCTTTAGTGATATGATTATGATAATATGCTATACTGTTTTGTAATGATGATAAAGATATAATGTTTTTATGGGAGCATGTCAGAAAAAGGGTGTGTTTTGTTATCTAAGTAATCTTCAGAATTTTTTTGACTTTCTCGATTTGTTTATTCAATTAATTATCATTATTCTTTTTTGTCTTTTCGATTAATTAAGTTTCAATGTTGTGCAATCTCATAAATCATATCCTTAATTAAACAAGATAAATCAAATAATACAATGAACTCGAAATCATATCCTTTGCCGCAAAGGCTTTGCGCGAAAGTTTTTCAATTCCCTCAAATTTTGCGAAACAGACACGAAGAAGATGCGCTTAATGAATATATGCTAATAATGAATATGTTAGAGTTGCATATAAGGTTATTAAAAAATGTATTTAACAATCTATCGTGTGAGAGAAAAATTGACTCCTTTCTTGCACAAAAACGTAGAAAAAATATAAATCAATGAAAGGGAGAAAAAAAAATATTTTTGCTCCAGAAAGTTTACAAATGTACACTTTCTGAAAAAAAAGAGTCGAAGAAAGTACTCAAACAATGGTACTTTTTGTAGACATTAACTTAATAGTGCATTTAAAACTTTCTGAAACACTATCAATGTTTTTGACAAAAGAGGTTCAAATCATAGATTGTTCGAATATCTGATATAATATTTTGACTTGTTATATCATTATCAAATAAAATAATAAAATAAAGATCTGATTGTTTTGCGGCGAAATCTATTTCACAAATTAAAGATGTCAAAAAAATTGAGAGAATGTCAGAAAGTGATAAGAGTGTCATTAATTTTTTTTTGAGGAATTAGATTGGAATTTTGTTGAAATTATATGAATGAGTATATTTATACTATTTTAGAAGAAGATATGTTTACTGTTACAACAAATGATGTTAATAAAATATTGATAATAATATTTTCGATGTCTTTCATTTTTAATGTTTTTTCTGATTCTTCCTTTTTATAAAAATATGTACTGGGACACCCCTCAACTGCATAATGAGATATAAATGAATCTAATGGATTGATTGATTCAAATGTACCTGAATAACCATCCCATACAGTTTGAGTGACATCTTTATTATCAAAGTAACAATTATCAAGATATGGTTCTTCATCAAATAAACAGTATCCTTTATTTCCTATGAATGAACAATTTGAATATGTACATGAAGTATCACAATCAATTATTGCAGCATCATCTCCTGTACATTCATTGTATAAATAATTACATTTTATAATATTAAAGTCACCCAAATTGTACATTCCATCTAATTCTGTAGATGATGTATTTGATGCAGTTGTGAAATTAATAACTCCTATTTCTGTTGAAAAGCCAATTTCATATGCAGCATATTCAGTAATTTCATAGTGATAAGATGTATTCATATTACTTACTTTGATATCTCCTTTGCATTGTGATACTGAACATTCAAATGCATAATTTTTGTAGGTATTTCCATAAGGTAAATAAATGTAATATGCGCATCCTTCTCTTCCGCATGATGAAAATAAACAACAAATATGAACTAAGATACAATCAGAGTCAAAGATAGAGAATGATCCACCGTAATCTGTGGAACTATTGTTGTAAAAGGAGCATGTTTCAAGTAATACTTTCCTGTGTGAATCAAGGTAAATTGCTGTATTTTGGCGATGGAAAGAAAATACTGCATAATGAATGTAATAATTGCCACTTCCTGATATGGTCTCGTTCTCTGTTTTGTCATTAAATGTAATATCGCCGTAATATTCTGAAAAACTTCGTTCAAGGAACAAATAGTCTCCTGACTTGAATAATTTAGCATTTCTAAGTATCTGTCAATGTAAATTGTATTGATAGTATTGTCAAATTATATTTTAATGGAGTTTTACAGTCAATTTGATTAAAATTAAAATTAAAAAAGTGACTAAACAAATACTTTGAATCAACGGATCAAAATTATTATCACTTCAGAAAGATGAAAATGATCAAAATTGATATCATCAACAAGAACATAAGGTTGATTATCTTTATGAAGTTTCAAAAATAAACAGAGAACAATATAGAAAGAAATATTTCACAAATTATGGAAAGAAGACATGTTTCATATTGACAACAAATCCGGTTAATGAGACTCAAATCAAAGTTTTCTTTACAAGAACTGTGAAAAAATATTCTAATTATACATTTGTTGCAAAACTTCATCCGAGTGCTCCTTATTCGAAAGATTTGTCTGAATGGATGAATAATGAAGTAAAAGTGATTCCGTTTGAAGGCGAACAGATACCTGCAGAGATTATATACTCTGCATTTGCCGGCAAAGTTAAAGTTGGTGGATATCCAACATCTACATTTACTTCTGTCGATTTGGATGATGTACTTTTCATTAATATTGAAAAAAAATTGATAAACTATTTCCTCCTTTAGATACATTCGTAGAAAGAAAAATGATCAAAGGAGAATTAATGAATTTCGAAAGTCTTGTTGAAGAATATCCACAGTTCATTCCATCGCTATCTCCAACACAAACTAATGACAAAAAAATTGAAATTCTTAATGATTGGCATTTCAATTATTTCTTTTGTTGGTGTCGCAATCATTGTTGGTATTGTTATATTAGTTATCTATTTTCGTAAAAGCAAAAATGTTGTTGACGAAACAACACTACAATCATAAATAAAAAAAAATATTTCTCTCAATATAAAAAAAAGTTATTTATCTTTGAAATCGCAATTCGTTTGATAACTCTATCAAATGTGAATAATAAATATATGTTAGAATTGAATATTAAGTTGTTATAATTAAAAATAAAAATTAAAAATATAATAAAATAGAAATAGAAATAGGAAATGTGTTTTCCTACAAGTTGCGATACTTTATTAACTTTCAATCTTCGTCAAGAATTCCAATATCGTCCAAAAATTGATAACCATTTCACTTATTCTATTTTTGATCAATTTTGTTAAAAATCTTTAAAAGATAATTCTTTCCAAACTAAAATTCGAGCGTTTATGGTTAAATTTCAATGACGATTCACGCCAGTCGTCAAAAATTTGATTTAAAGATAGATGGGCGTAAGTTCAGACTTAAATAGTATCATTATGTCATATGAAAGTTAATTTTCAATGACGTTTCATGTCTGTTGTCAGAGATTTGATTTGAAGTCAAATGGGTGTATGCCCAATATCTTTGAGTTTTAGCTTGCTTTGAAGATTTAAGGATGCACTTACCACTTTCTGACATGCTAGCATAATATCAAAATGTCTTTATTGTATATGCAAAAAAAAGTATAACAATAATATAAGGTACTAGGTAGTGATTTAAAATAACTTTTTTTCTTAATTAGAAAATTTGGATAAAAAGCTATGTTGTCAAAAAAATTGAGAGAATGTCAAAAAGTGTTAAGTACCCCCTTAAGTCTATTAAACTTTGACTCTCTCACGAAATTGCGATAATATCAATTAAAAAATAATGAATAGAAGGTGAATTTTTTGGCTATTTTAGAGTGGAAAAAAGTTTAAAAAAGCCGATCAAAATTCACTCAATTTTCCACCTTTTTACAAAATTACACTTTTCCGACGTTTTGTCAGGGGCGCGAAGCGACTCAAAAAATGTCGGAAAAGTGTAATTCTCGGGTATATGATTATTTTTGCGTTTAATGCCGAACAGCATTTGAACCAAAAATAATCGTATGTCCGAGAATTAAAAATTTATTCCAATTGAGTCATTTGAGAGCCTCTCAAAATAAATTTGAATTTATACATTCGATACGAATTAATTTTTTTAATTAAGGCTGCACTTACGCCCATCTGACTTTAATTCAAATTTTTGACAACTGGTGTGGAGCACCATTGAAAATTAACCTTAAACAATTGAATTGAATGCTATGTCATAGGGGTGTAAATGCATCCATAAAAATTATTTCAATTTTTCCTTTTTTACACTCTAGAATGATCCGAATTTTTGTGAAAATAAAAAGGTTTTGAAAACATAAAATCAATAGTTTTTATTAATATTTTTATATTTATATAGGGTTTCCTGAGTCTTTAGGTTGAGGTTTGAATGTCATTTTCTTTGTAGACATTAAGTGTGAAACACCAGCACTGAACAAAGATGCAGCGTATGCCATTGGTGGATCCATCTTAAGTTGTGAGAATGCAACAAGGAAGTCCTTGATGGCCATAGGATTAGATGGAGGTTCAATAGTGATTGCTGCGTAGAAGATTGAGAAGAAATCATCAAATGATGTAGGAAGTTGAAGTTTAGCAATAGTTTCTTCGTCAATGACTGAAATCAACTGGCCAAACTTAGGTTCGAGTGAGTTTCGCTTCATGATGATGTTGAACTTCTGCATCGACTGGAAAAGAGAGTTCACAAGATCTAATGGATTGACACAGAACTGAACACTCATGATGCAGTCGACCGCGCTGTGGAAATTATCAACAGTCTTGTCGATACTGACGAATGGTTGGTTCTTTTGTTGGTCGGTGAAGATTCCTTCGGTAATTTCAAGTTCATTAGGTGTCATAGTACGAAATGTGTTGCAGTTACGGAAGAAGAGATTAGAAATGAACTGGTCATCAAGTAAATGTGAATATTTCATGTAAAGAATATCAAAGAAAATTCGATAAATAGCACAAACAATGACGGTGCGAGTTGCATCGCTCGTTTTGAATGTAGAGACTGTAGAATCGATGAATCGTTTAAGCTGTGTAAGGTCAATTGGTACTAATGCCTTCCGATTTTCTGATGGAGATATGAAATTCTTTGTATCATCAATTTCTTTGATATTTAGGAGCTTCTCGGAGCGCTTAGTAGGTTGGTTCGATGGTTGCGGAGTTTGGATTGTTGTTTGTGTTGCATTTTCGATACATTTTTGCCATTGATCGCCAACGGTAGTTGCAAGTTCTTGAATAGGTTCGATCTTGTTGTTTGCTTTGAAATATTTGTACAAGATGTCATCAAATACTGTTTGTGGGCAGAAATGAATGGAATAATTAACATAAACAGCAGATTCATCAAGAGATGACTGAACATCCCCATGTGATGGTGGTTTTGGAAGTGATTTAGAAAATATAGGTTGACATTTAGCGTTCAGTGACTTGTAGCGGAAAAGATCGGTTTTAGCATCTGTGTTGGAATCAAATTGCTTGGTAACATAATTCTTAAATCCTGGTATGTCAACTGATGTTGGAACTTGAAATGCAATTGCATGAACTAAGAAGTTAGCAATTTGATTAGCAAATGATGATGCTTTGGCATAAAATGTGCCACAAAAGTGATGGTATTTGAAGAAATATTTCTCTTTCTTCAAGATTGTGAACTTCTCAAGTTCGGAATACAAGTGAAAATCGAGAGGTCTTTCTTTTTCATATTCTCTACTAAGCATCATTTCATCAAAGCTTTTCTTAGCATACTCGGTTGCAATTTTCATCATTTCATCATATGAATTCTTCATCTTGCGGAAAGTAACATTATCATCTTCAGATTCAGATGGATCAAACCACACATACTTCACAAGTTCGTTTGGAAGAGTGGGAAAGGTCATCTGTACAGGCTTTTTCGCCTGCATCTTTCGAATCATTTTAGACATTTTTCGGACTAAAAAAGTGTCATCAAAAATCTTTTGACACAGATCTTGACACTAAGATATACTAACTGAGATCTTCAAATTATTTGAATTTTTTAAGGTGATGTGATGCAGATACGAGAATTGTCAATATCTCTGTTTCTAGTATAGTTTTAAAGGAAACCATCGAGGCATATCATAAAGGTGACAATAGGAGTTTTGTTTAAATGATATCAAATTATGAAATACATTCCATGTTTCGGAGAAAACAACATTTTAATTTTTCAATCTATGGATCTATCTAGTTCCTGACTATTATTTGAGATGAACTAAAGTAATATCAATCTTACCTTGATAAAGGAGAATTACAATCGCTATCATAGGTCTTAATGTGCATGATTTAAATTATGTTAGAAATAATTCACTAGGAATTTCAAGATTTAAAACTATCTTGGATGATATGGTAATACTCTATTGTGAATGAAACAATTATTCATTAAGAAAGGCAATTTATCGAAACAATTTCCTCAATATAAGTTGAAATTTTAATTAAAAAATAAAAATTATTGGTTTTCAAAACTTAAATTTTTATTATACTTATATTGTGTATTTATGCAGAGAGTTTCTGCTGGATCTTTTCGCAAATTACTGACGCAGCATCATTAATTGCTTCTGGAAGATCTTTTTGTGGTTCAAATTGGCCAGCAACAATATATGGATCAATTGGAATGCGACCAAGTAGATCAAGGTTCTCTTGTTTGCATAATTCTTCAGCACCGCCAAATTCGTGGCCATATATTGAAGATGTCTTGCCACACATTGGACATTTGTATTGGCTCATGTTCTCGACAACTCCGAGGATTTTCACGCCTGCTTTTTGGCAAAATTCAATTTCACGTCTAACATCTGAAATTGAGACTTCATCTGGTGTTGTAACGATAACAGCTCCATCAATTTCAGAGTCGCGCATGAAACTGACGACTGACAAGTGCTCATCAGAAGTTCCTGGAGGAGTATCAACCAAAAGGAAGTCCTGATCGCTCCAATCGATCTGGTTGATGAGTTGTAATACGAGTGCGTTCTTCTTTGGTCCACGAGCTACGAGTGGAGAGTCAAAATCTGGGAGGAAGAATTGAATGCTAACAACATTGATGTTTTTAGCAGCATGGTATGGTTGGAATCCGAATGTTGTATCTAATAATGGTTCTACATCGCAGTTAAAGAGAATTGGAATTGATGGGCCACATAAATCTAAGTCCAAAACACCGACTTTCTTGGTTTTTGCCAAATATTTTGTCAAAATATATGTGAGTGTGGACTTGCCAACACCTCCTTTGCCACTAAGAATCAAAATCTTGTGTGTTACGTTTTCTAAAACTGTTTTGCATTCCTCAAGGGCACCTTGGAGAGCTTCTGGTGTACCATGAGAAGAGCATGTGCCAGCATGTGAACAGGATCCACAATTTCCTGAGCAGCTCATTATAAAAAAATTTGAATGAAAACTATGAAATTTTGAAAATTTGATAATTCTGCTGTAATCCCAATAAATCTTTCCCAAATAGGAAGCATAAAGGATCCAATTTTTTATTTTTAAAAGCTTTCCGACTAACCAAAGAATTCATTTCAACATTTGAGTTGAAAACGGAATAATTAATACATAAAGCAAAAGCCTCTAAAAATCAGTATTTGCTTTAATATGGAGAAATTAGCTCATTGTTAGACTTAGCTGGTAACTACAAAAGAGTAAATAAAAGTTCAGATCAAATCAAAAAAAATAAAATTTAAACAATAAACAACTTGAACATAAGTAGATTAGATGCAACTTTGTGGATATATTGCATATTACTGACTAACCTCCTTTAGGCGCTGTAGAATCTTTGGAATATACCCTTTGCCAATTAGCTGGCAAATGTAGTCTTGGTGAGAAGACAGTGTATCACCCAACGAAATCATAGTAAGAAGAGCCCTAATTCCAGTGTAATCCATTTGGTTAATCTTATCGTAAGGTTTCGGTCTGTAAGCTTCTAAATGTTTTGCAAAGTCAGCGTCATAAATTGAGGAATTTTTGATGTAGGAAAGGAATTCATATAGTAACTGGTGGTATTTCACTCCGTTCGAATCGGAATGACACAATTTACTGGTTGGATTCGAAAAGAATGATTGGTAGCCAACAAGTTTATTGATTTCTTCTTTGTCAATACTGGTAAATTGTTTCACTCTCGAAAGCAAGCAAAATAAAAGCATTGAATGGGAAGTGACAAATTTTGGAATTACAATTGAATAGTGCTTGATATTTTGGATTTAGCATATTACAAAAAGAAAGATTCTGCCGACTGTGCTCAATTTTGTTATTTCATATTTCAGAAGTTTACATTGTAAAAAAATAAATTCAAAAGTTTACGAATGTAAAACATAATAAAAAAAATTCGGATTTCAGAAAGCTAATGTAGTGGATTTTTCGATTTCTTCGATGAAGTTATTCCAGTCAACCTCACCATTGATTTCGAAATGTTCACGGATTCTGAATCTTGCTCTTCCATCCAAAATGATATTTAAGGACCTGAGAGCGTCCATAAGCTCGTCATATGATATCTTTGGTGGTTTTCCAGCGAATGCTCTTCTTGGATTGCAATGTCTTGCTTCAAATTTAGCTCTTAATTCACCAAGATCTCTGTAAATAGCTCCAGCATCATCTCTTGTAACGGCTTTCTTCTTAGCTGGTATTTTCTCGATCTCTCTTGAAAACACGGCCGTATCTACAAGCTCTGGGCGCTTTCTATCTATAAATGCCTGGCAAATCATTGGAGCGTCGTCTGTATATTTAGCCAATAAGCCAATTGCACGTTGTACAGGAACATATCTTGCTCCCAATACATCAGCAACTGTTAATGATCTGACTTCTAAATCTCCTTTGAGAACTGCGAGTTTTTGTACAAAATTATCGTCGTACTGCTGTTTCTGAGGCTGATCGTTTTCATCGGCCTTTACTTCGTCTCTTTGGAGGTCTCTAACCATGTCCATGTATTTATGATCGGGATAATACGAAAGGAATTTATTAAACTCCTGTGGAGTGAACTCCGCGCATTGTACAGCATCCGAAATCTCACGAGCTGTGAGGATTCCTGTTTGTCTCATATCGACAATTCGAAATTCGTCCAAAGCGCAAACTCCGTTCCTCTTATAAGCGTTGTTAGCCTTCTTGAGGAGGTTCATGAGCTCTGGAGTTAATTCTCTTTGCTTCTTTTCGACTTTCGGTTCTTCTTTCGGTTGTTGCTTCGGAATTTCTGGATCTACGGCCATGCAAAGTTCTTCGTATTTGATGGATGTTGGAGAAAGTCTGCCGGCGAAGGCTCTTTTGATTCCTTCAAGCTCCATGCGATTCATCGCGTAGCCGCTTCTAGTAAGAATAGTAGAAAGGACGCCAATGTCAACTTCACCGGTTCTTTGTGGATCCTGGCGTTGAAGTAATGGTAAAAGTCGACGACTTGAGAAATTAAGATATTCTCTGAGTCCTTTAACGTTGATTTCGGGAATTCTTTGTGTAGGAGCGTCGTTGAATAAAGCAAGGAATGGTTGGAGCTGTACTAAGCCGCGTTCGTTCATGAATTTCTGAGATAATGCAACAACTTCGTCCTGAGAGATTGTTAAGCCTGCTGTATTAAGTATTCCTTGGAAATGTTGTGGTTTGACCAACTCTTCGTGTTGTAAATCACCGAAGAAGTCGGACATTCTGACATGACGAGATCTAAGCTCTCCTTTGAGGTAAGAAACGAGCTCGTCGATGTCAACTTGTCTGACTTGCCTTGTAACAACCTTTGGTGTACTCCGAATTGTCTGTGTAGTCATGTTGATGTCTTGAGAAAATTGTCTAATATCAACAGAACCATCTGGAGAAGCGTAGTACTCGATAATAGGCTGTGAATCACGTGAGAAATTACGGATGACGGCATTGAAGGCTTCAACTGGAATACGTCCCGTTTTATATCTATCGTACTGATTAAAGACGTTGTTCATATCAATTCCGTTGAATTCAAATGATTCAGCAAGCTTTGATAAATCTGGTTTGACTTTCGTTGTTGTTAATTGGAGATTGTTTAGCTCTCTTTCGATAAGAGAATAACGAACGCCTTCATACTTATCGAATGTGAAAGCAGCTGCAATCTTCTTAGCATCAGTTGAATATCCCAATTCGTGGAAGAAAGCGTTTTCAGAGACGTATCCACGGCAACTTGGATCAGCACGTCTGAAAATTTCACGAAGAGTAGTATTATTGGTCTGCAAATAGCCCTTCAGTCTCTTAAGTTCTGGGTAGATAGGTGCAATATCCAAAGCTTGTTGAGATTCCTGATCTTGAGAATTTTCGATTGAAGAAATGAATTTAGCAATCTCAATTCCCTTTTCTGTTGTATTAGCAGCAACAATATCTTTGAATTGCTGATCATTGATCGGATATCCTATATTGGAAAAGAATTTCCGAAATGTTAATTCATTGAGAAATCCGGTTCTCTTTCTGTCCAAGTATTCAAGCTCGTATGGGATGTCAATTCCACGTGTAGTGCAGTAATTTTTAAGTTTTGGAAGAATTTGCGCACACATTTCCTTGATAAATGATTTTTAAACGCACTTTAGATTTCAATTCAATTAATTTTCTATCTTCAACACTCTCAAAAATTGTTAGATATTGTGTATTGTAACGGAAATATTATAAAACGTAATTAAAATATGCATAAGCGATCATCTCTAATGGAAATATATGGTAAAATATATGTAGTTTTAAAATAACTCATTAAATTCATGAATTCAAAATAAACTTATAGAATATAAGAAGAAACCTAATTTAATGAAAGGTATTCTATCGAACTTACACTAAGTACATGTAGTGATGAATGGTAGTAAATCCGCTAGTATGTTAATGTATAACTTTAAAAAAAAATCGTATCAATCACTATCTTATCAAATTTTATATCCGAGCAATTAGTCTACAAGTACTTTTTATGTCTATATGTTCAATTTGAGATGTAAATCTGATGAAATTAATGAAAAATGATATCATTATTTCTTCCTTTAGTGATTTATCAAATGGTAAACTGATGTTTGAGTGCCCTTGATGTATACCCACCCAATATCTATTCTCCAAATTTTTCATGATTCGTGAAATCCATCATGAAACTTCTAAAATATTGAATCGGTTTTTCAAATGTTGTAATTTTTTTAGAAAATTCAGAACGAAAATCTTTGTTTCAAGAAAATATCAATGTTTAAATTGAATTTTAAATCGACAAATAGGTTTAATTTTAGTTACAATAAATAATTATCTTGTCAATTTTATTTATTGATCATTATTTTTGGAAAAATTATTTTTGACTCATCCAAATTTATAAAAATTTATAAAGAAAAAAGAGACAATAAATCATGAAAAGTAAATAACAAAACATTTATTGTTGATTTTGAACAAAATCAATAAATTCTAATAATTCGGTTGCAGCATCGACAACTAAGTCATTATCATTCATTGTCAGATCCGCAATATCATCTTGCATTGCAATGATATCATCCAGTGGTCCTTCCATCTCTGCTTCCTGTCCAATTCTTAATAATGCGACTAAAATATTATCCAAGTTCTCATTTGTTGTATCATCGATAAAATCTCTAAATAACTGAACAACAGGTTGAGTTATTAATGTTTGGAGGTTTTCGTGGTTACATTTCTTGATTATGGAAGCCAAACACGAAACAATCGACTTTTTGATGATGAATGAACACTTTTCTTGAGCAAACTCTACAAATTCATGGAAAATTTCGGAATCACAAATATAATCCGAAGAATATTTGTCAACAATTTTACTAACGAAAGAACAAAGAGCTGCTACAAGCTCTTTATCATCTGATCGGAGTAGTGCAGGAACCTGGTCCCAAATCAAACTAAATTTTGGCGCATCTTTTAAATTTGAAAGAGATTTTGAAAGAACTTCAAGAGCAGCCTTTCTAAAAGGATTTGTTTTAAAGAGATGATATACAGAAATGATGTGGTTAGCAATAAACGAGTGATGCTGTGGAGATTTGTCACAAATATTGTTATAAGTTTGTAGCAAAAGCATTCGCACTTCTTCGTTAGAGGATCTCATTAAACTATCAGAAATGTCCCTAAATTTCTTTTCTTCACTAATTTGGTCTGGTAATTCATCGACATCCGAGTTATCTAAGTCAATTTCGTTTGGATCTGAATATCCTAAGTCAATTTTCTCTTCTTTGTATACAGTATGGAAACTGAGGTCTACATTTGAGATTGCGTAAAAGATTTGTGCAATGAAAATATAATTTTCTTTTTCTGATAAACAGCGATATAAAGCAGATACACCGCCTTGGTCTATAAAATATAGCGATATTCTGGGGTTTCTAGAGGCTATTTTCATATATCTTGCTAAAAATTCTAAACTTAAAGGTAAATTTTGAATGAAATTCTCAAGTAAAACATCATAAGGTAATTCCATTATGTTTTTAATGGGACCGTTAAGTATATAATCGAGTAAATCTAAACATTCATTGGGATTTTCGAGTAAAAATGTAACAACTGCATGATTAAATTTAGTATTGAATATAGGAATAACTTCAGTTCCAAAATCTATTATAATGTCACCTATAGGTGATTCGCATTTAGCCATATTTTTCATATATTTATGACATTGATCGTAAGAAGCATGAGGAATTTCTGTTAATTCCATTTCACTTTCTTTGTATTCGTCTGGGCCACCATCTGCTAAGTTCTTTTTCTGTAATTCACTTCCATCTTTATATTCTTCATCACACATTAAAAAAAAATGCAAGATTATGATCATAAACACAATAATGAGATTAGTCTTTTATAATACATTCAGCATTATTACATACATTTCTCTAAACAATTGAGAAATAAAAATAATTCCGTATAAACTATTGAATATATTCAATTATTTGAATATATTTCGTAGTAATTTTTGAACCTTCCCAAATTTGTCAAACATTATATTGACAATTATGAAACTATCAAACTCATTAACACCAAATTTCATCTCTAATAATTTCATTATTTTTTAAATGAGATGTTCTCAATATTCTGGATTGGCTAAGTTATGATGACTTAAATCATGCAAAAAAGATTACAGTAGAATGGATGAATATAGGTTAAGAGCTTGTTGATGTAGTTTTTTTTCTAATATGTGAATATTGTTCCAAAAATCCCAATGATTGCGCCTAAAAGATCGTAATTTATTTAGTCTGGTTCCAAAATATCTTTCTTTAAGAGTGTGAAGTAGAGAAATCAAAAATGGAATAGTAATTACTGAAATAAAATAGAAATTAGAAAAATTTTTGTTAGAATTTAATAAAATAACGAAAAATACAGTTTATAAATATAAAATTTTTGTTAGAAAGGAAGGTAAGATGACAAATCATTTGCATCCGGCATAGAACTCTCTGGATAATAAGAAGAGAAGGACGGATTCATTGAATTATCACCGACCTTGATGTTAAGATGAGCAAGAATCTCTTTAAGAGATCCTGCTTCGAATCCTTCGCAATTAAAAGATTGATTTTGAGGAGATAAAGGATTATAAGCAATAGTAATCCTTTCTGAAGGTGGTTTGACCAAGGAGAAGTAGCAGGGATGGCTACTTGACATTTTGATGTAAGGATAATCTCTGATATTTGTTGTCTCGACAGTTGCTGAGAACCAGTCCTCGAATTCATCTCTATGGGGTTTTAGAAGGGCTTCTACGTTTTCTACGATCCTTTCTGGAGGTCCAAAACGTAAACAAAGTCTAACATAATCTAAAAACGTAATATTAGGGATAACTACTGACGAACAGATACTTTTCTGTATAAATCTTGATAGAGCGATCGAAACATTATGAGGATAGTTCGATTTGGCGTTTCTTGCTAAACAATCCGTAAATTTTTCTAATTCTATTTCATTTCCGTAAGCACCGAGCTCTTGCTTCAAATTTTTCCACTCTATTATAACTGGTTCTACATATTCTATATAATTTTTGCCTAATTTATCAAGTAATGTAAAACATTCATATTTCACGGGATCTTCTCGTAGAAATTCATCGATAATTTCTGAGTACTTGACATCTTTTGCAACAATGCACATTTCTGGCTCTATATTTTTGTTAAAAAGCCTTTGCCTTCGATGTGTCCTTTTTGTCCATACAACATTACTCGTTTCCACCTTTTTAGATGATGATGAAAACCCAGCATCAAGTGGCGTTGATACTGTTGAGGGTGTTACCGATCTATCAATGTCTGATATCGCAATGAAACCAAAATCACTGAAATTTTTATTCATTGAGCTGGTTTTGATATCTAGATGCTTCGAGGCAATTGAATTATTCACCATAAATGTATAATCATCAAGCCAATAAATGCCAATTATTTCCCTTAGCTCTGGATGGGCTGTTGTGAATTTCATTGCATACAGGAGTTTGCCAGGAACTGAAAGACGGTTACTCTTTTTATTAGAAAGTGTTTTATCAAGCTCGTCAATCAGTTGTTTGTCTCCCATTCAAAATTAAAATTTTTTTTTTCTCGATGCTTTAGTAATTGCTACCATGAATTTTCAAATAAAAATATTTCGTTATAACTAAACTGATGATTTGCACTATATGTACAGGCTTTGGCAGACGAAAACTCTAATCTCTTTATTCACAAAATTATTGATTCTCGTTTTCATTGTTTAAGTCTACTTAATATCACACACTCCCCAGATTGTTAAGAGAATTTCACTGAAAAAATTGAATTGGCGACAAAGTTTATGAAAATGTGTTAATGATTTCCTATGAACACAAAAACCTCGGTATATTCAAACGTGACCATAAGCATTATGTATTTATTTGTATTCCATTCAATGGAAAAATTAATTTAATGTATTATTTTGAAATTCAAGTTTTAAATTACTCATTTATGATAGCCACAGACTCAATATATTATTTTCAATCCTAGATGTACTAAATTAACTAGTATTTAAATATTATATTATAACGAATGGAATGATTTTGAAGAGTTTTCTTCATTAGGGCACTACAACCGTTTTAATTCAAAAATGTGTGGTTTACATAGGCACTTCGGAAAAATTCCGAAGGTATTGAAATACAAATTAATCTTAAAATATCATATACATCATTAGGCCACTGTTATTTGAAAATTATTCAAATTGAAAACTCTTCATCAAATTCATAACTTGTTTATTATTGCTTCTTGATAATTTATCTTTTCAACCACTAACATTTAAATTTTTTTTACCAAAATTTTGTTGGGAAATCGAATTCAAATTGATTTCCCAACTGTAAACAACATAGAAACAACCATATTAGAAGAGATATTAACATGAAACAGCGCTCAGAAATCCATCTTCAACAAAAGAAATCAATCAACAAAGTTATTTGCAAGTTCAAAAAAGTTTTTCAGATTATTACGACTCTGATGAGTTTATTAACAAAACAGAGAACGAAACTATCTCAGAAAATGGCAATTATCACATTCGTCATGCCGTATTTTCTTTCCATAATCAAAATACTGCAATTTTCATTGATTCCGACAGTAAAGTATTACTTGAAACGTGTAGCTTTTATAATAACAGTTCCACAGAAAATGGAGGATCATTCTGTATCATGAATTCTGAATGTGTTTTAGTTCAAATTTGTTGTTCATTTTCATCAGTTATTGCAGAATGGAAATATGGATGTGCATATTATATTTACTCAGAGAATAGAAATATCTACAAAAATTATGCACTTGAATGTTCTGTATCACAATGCAGCGGCTATTATGACATATTAGCTCATTACTATGGAGACATCAAAGTAAGTAATTTGAATTCATCTTATCAAGAAATTACTAAATATTCTGGATATTGTATTGGTTATCCATCAGTAAGGGGAATTATTAATTTCACAACAGTATCGAATACATCATCTTCAGAAGAAGGTGTAATGTACAATACGGATGGATATTCATTTGATATTATAAAATGTAATTTCATCAACAATCAATATACTAGTACGCATTTTGCATTTATTGGATGTGGTTCTAGTACTAATTATTCAAATTGTTCATTCATTGAAAATAAAGCAGAGGAAAGATTTTTTTATGGTCTACCATTTTTTAAAAATTGCTACTTTCATGAAAACACTTATGTTGAATTTACAGGCCGTTCAATGGATGAGCCTCCAGTTTCTATTGAATCAGGCGAACCACTAGATTCATTACTGACTCATTATGCAGATGAAGGTTGCATTAGTAAATTATCCGAATTTAAATTAGATATAACGTTGAAAGTTGATAAGATAGATATAGAAAACGTTATAAATATTGCTATAAGTATTTATAAAATATCATTTTGTCAAGTATTAAACGTCTCATTATTAAAGTAAAACAACAATAAATACATATATGTATCTTTGCTATTTTGATCTGTTTCAATATGAAGAGCATTTTTTTCTTTTTTTTTGTCTCTATCATTGATATTTGCATCATGCAAAATAAGAAGTACTGCTGTTCCTTTGTTATTTTGATCAGCTGCAATATGAAGAGTGGCTTTTCCTTCTTCATCTTTTTCATTGATATTTGCTGGATCCCAAATATGAAGTTCCGCTATTTATTTACTTTTCTTATCTGCTGCCTAATGAAGAGAAGTTTTTCCATTTTCAACTTTTTCATTGATATTTGCACCATGTGAAAGGAAATAATTGCAAATGGATGATAAGTTAAATATTGTAGAATAAACAAATCATTTGTTAATTTCATTTATTTGATCGAAATAAATAAAAATTATTCAAGATTATTATATAAGACACAATAAGATAGATCGATCTTCATATCAAATTCATTCATCAAGAATGTAACAAAATCAATGTTGTGTGAAATAATTGCGTATTTCAAGCAATCTTCATCTGGTGTTACACATTTTAAACATTCACTCATGATCTCTGGATTTTCACCTAAACGCGTAAAATATAAGCATAACAGTTTAATTCGTCAGTTAAATTTAGATCTCAATAACCTTAAACAATCAACTGCTTCGTGATGACATAATACAAGTAATGAATATCTCGTGCAATATTCTGGATATAAATTGCTTGAAAACCTTTGTTTTTCGTCAGATCCTTCTCTTTCTGTGAACAAGATGAACCTTTCTAAGTCATTATACATAATTGCTCTGTAAATTGTATCTTCTGTATGAATATTGAGATTTTCAAATTCATGCTCTTCAAAATCAACAGACTTGTCTAATTTAATTCCATATTCTTTGTAAAACAGGTATTTTGAAATAATTTCGACATCATTGAGTTTATCCCTTCTTCATTTTCTGTTTTTAGCTGATTCAACGCATTATATGAATCAATATAGTATTTGCACTTACTATATAATTCACCCTTTTTATTTGGGTACAGCAGACATTAATAATTTTAAAATAGATATCCTACCATTTTACCATATAAAATATATTTGATATTCATTATAAGAAAAAATGCTATGATACACCTGCCGTGAACAATGTTCACAAAGATTTCGTATTTAATTTATGAATTTTAATTAAGTTCATATATATATAATATGATATAATAACAATAATAAAATCGAATGCAATATAAAATCCATCCAAAGACTATTTTATCAATTCAATTTTAAATTTTGCTAAGTGATTTTCCTTAAAAAGAATATTTTAAGTGCTATGAAAGACATATATTTTAGTGAACTCTTTTTAGGTTTGGATAATTTGAATTCTGGACATTTGATAGTATGTTTGTTGAAGATTAATAATCCAATATGCCTATGTAACACCATCTATATAAACCTTGTCTTCGTAACATCCTAATAAATAATGAAATTGAAAAATAAACGGTATCTAAAAATTGATAAGTTTACAATTGTCTTATTCTGGCTAAATATAAGGATTTATTTCTATTCTTTCATCTTTGAAGCAGGAAACTCACAGGTACCCACTGGAAATGTGTCATACAATACAACACTGTTGCAAATTGCGAGTATTCAGCAGCCATTTTTGAAAAACGTTCAACATGATTAGAGTTCTTGACTCAAACCAAGCTAACCATGCTCTTTGCATCAATTTGATATCAGCCACACCTATGTTTCATCCAAATTTTTGATCTTTCATTTTCATGTTCCATTTCACTTCCAAAAGAACACAAAGTTGTCCTGACATTTATGCAATACCTAAGCAGAAACGGCACTTTTCACGTATACTTCATATGCTATTTCAAGTTTTTATCATAAATTTATTTTCAGATCCAAACGAAATCAAATTATATTACGATAATTAATTTCTAAAAGATGACTAGAAAGGGAATTTAGCTTAGAAACCAAAAAACGAAGAAAGATTGTCAGAAGCTTAATTTCTCCATCCGCCTTTTTGATAAGTATTCCAATTATATATCAGAAATCGTATCTAGAAAAATTATTTTTGGTCAGCTACGAAAAACTTGTCAACAAAATTTTCCAAAATTTTACCAATTCGGTCACATAACCACTCAAAACAAGGAATATTTTTCCAATCGTTTTCAATTAACTATTAAAAATGAGTACATATTCATAAGCTCTAACGTATGTAAAAAAGAGCGCGAAAATTTCAGAGGATGACGATTACTAAATTTCGTGATTTTAAGTATTCAAATTTTGAATGAGTTTGTTCGAATTTAGAATTTACTTCAGACAGACTCTATCAAATTTTGAGAACTAGCATTTTCCCTTTTTGCCAAATTCTAATTTTTTTTATTTTTTAATAATGAGGACGGCCAGTGATCGCAGACGACATCTCATCAATGCAATCAAAGACTTGATATCCCCAGAAGAGATTTGCAAGTACCCAGAAGCAGTTATTGCTACTAGGAACCAAAACATTCTCCCTCTTGATGAACTTATCAACTTAAAGCCAATCCTTCAGCTCAACCCAACATACGACGACGTCTACAGCGTATGCAGTGACGACAGCGAAATTTCCCACATGTTTAGCCAATATCAAAGACCATCTTTGAAGCTAAACCTTAAGCTTTCTCAAACAGACCTTATAGTTTCAGGCTTCCCCAACAAGACGAAGCTCGAAGGATTCAGGCCATTCGTTTCGAAGATTACAGGAAACAATAATTTCAAGTTGTCCAAGAAGGATGACGATTTCCTTATCTCGTTTACTTCTCTCGAAGATACAATCTCCTTCTGGAGGTCTCTCGCTTATCTCAGATTCGAAGGCTGCCATTTGACAGCAAGAGCAAATGTTACCCAGATTAAATCGTCCAGAGGTAAGCAGAGACGTTCCAGTGGAACATACGAAAGAAGGTCCAACCTCGAGCAAAATCGGCCAAAGCCAAAGATTTTAATTGAAAGATCAAACAACAAATGCAGCCTCAATATCGAGAGAAACACACAGAAGACACTTAATATTTCTATTTAATTTCATTACTGCCCCCATCGGCTTCTTTTTTTCCATGTTTATATTATTATTACTTATTGACTAAAATATTAAAACAAAAATCATCTTATCTTTTTCCATCTGTGCTATTATGACCGACGGTATTAGTCTGACCATTGGCCCAAATTTGTGATCTTATTTTTTCGATAAAATCGGGTTTCTATTCGTACAAATCATATATACAAAATCGGTATATTATAGTTTTTATGTTAATTTCTTTAACAAATGTAATAATTATATTTTGCCATAAAATTTTAAATTAGAAACATTTTCTATTATGAGAAACTGATTCATTATATAAAATATAATCTAAAATCGCATCATTTAAACATTTCAAAACAAATACAAACAAAAAATTTTGAAATTATTCAGGATAAAGAATAGAATGGATATTCTTTGCGCGATAATTACGCTTTAATTTATCCATTATTACAAATAATTCGTTATCAGTGGGATCATCGAACCAAGAACTGATTGGAATCGCATTATATGGCTGAAGTAAGTAAGAAACGCTAGAATTGTCTATAATTATAATCTTCTCGAGAGGTCTATTCATTTTGCTCAGGTCTTTAACAAATGATCCATTAAATTTTGTACAAGATTCTCTGTAAAGTCTATATTTAACAGGATCAGCATATACTTGACAAGAAGCTGTAAATATTATAATTTCATAAAGAGATCCAAGTTCTTTGAGAAATTTTTCAGCTCCTGGGCGAACACAAACGAAAACACCGACTGGACTCTGGTCAATACCAATATCAAATCTGTAATCTGCATGAGGAATCGCTAAAAATGATGAATGTACTAAAGTTTCATCGAGATCTAAAACTAAACATATTTTTCCACGATCGTTTGATAGCTGTGGTGGTAAAAGTAGGCCATCAGCATTAGGAAAAGCTCTAATCATATTGTAATTAGGCGTAATTTGGATACAACATGAACAAGGATATTTTTCTTCAACTTCTTGCCCTGTTGACTTATCGAAGAGAATGGGTTCATTAGGAAATAAAGAAGAAAGTGTATTTTCAGTGAAACTTTCCATTGTAAATGAAGTTGAACTATTAAATATAGAAGTTGCTACTATTGATGTTGTTGCTGTTGCAATGGATGCATCGGGAAGATTCACATTAAATGACGCATCAACATTTTTTCCTACTGCCATAGACTTCAAAATTTCTAATTCTAATTTTTGGATAACTTTTGGATCTAACATATGCTTGCCTCTCACATGTGTGTCATTAACATCTTCATCGTCAAAATCATCCTCTTCTCCATTCTGGACCTGAGTTACAAATTTCGAAAGATCCATCATAATCGAGAGGGAGGTTTAAAAGTGACAAAGATTTTAATTCAAATTTTCAAAACTGTATTGACCATATAGCAATAATGCAAATTGTTCTTATTAGATACTAGAATTACAATTCATTATTAGTATAACAGACATTCGACAGATTTTTAATTATAAAACTTTCAGAAATCCTTAAAATTACCTAATTTTTTTATTTTTTCACTTCATAGATATGCCACAGAGAATTACATAGTATGTAAATTTATTAGTGAATAAAAATTAGTCTGCAAATACAAGATTTTCGCAAAATTATTTGATTTCTACGATGAATAAGAGATCTATTTGCTTTCTTTCACTAAAACATCTTCTATTTCATTAATTTAATTCATGCAATAGTATTTTCATAATAATTACTACAATATTTTACGAAAAATGATATAAATTTCGAATAAACAACTAAGGCCAAAGAATCAGATATTATCATATGTGTAATAAATCTATATTTTATGACTTATATGATGCAATATCTCTGCATAATAAAATTTTGGGTCTCTATATCGTATTTAGATGGTAAAATAGTATTTGCAGATATAGGCTAGACTTCGTTTTAATATTTATTAGCGTTTCGACTAATTAATCAGATCAAGTTTATAAATTACGTTTCGTTAATTATCAAGAATTTAGAAAAATAATAAGTTCATCATACAATATAGTATTAACCAATGCATAATACGAAGTATTTCATTTCATCGTTAACAGATCAGACTTATCTCAAATATGAATGATCTGTTTTTGATGTTTTCAATTGAAAATCTGATCAATTTTTTGACGATAGAAAAACTTTTGAAATACTTTGAAATCGGAATGAAATAATTTACTAAAAAAAAACACAAGATATATAAAGTGAATTAGAATCTGCAGTTAAGGATGTCAATTCGGAAAATTGTTTTCATTTTAGGAGAATATAATTTTCCTTTTGGAAAATTTAAAAAGTGAGACGCGCAGGATTCGAACTTTTTTAAAAGTTGATTTAAATATATTCTAGTGTGGATTCTAAGGATAATATCATATTTAAAATAAGAATATACTAGTTTAGGTGGTATAATTTTTTTCGATAAATTTGAGAGTATGTACGTTTAGGGCATCAAAAGTGTCAATTCGCTCAGCGAAAGCTGAGCTAGCTTCGTTCTCGAAAAAATAGGGAAGGAGTGAAAGAGAGTGATACAGATGTTGACACATTCATATCATTTCAACAAATTTTGATCAAATTGAAATTCAATGAAATTCAATTCACTTCATATCCTTCAGTCAGTACATTGACATCCTTCTACATCACAATGATAACTCGTGCATCAATAGTTCTACAACTAACTCAGAAAAAACAAGATTTTTACTTCCAGCTTACAGCTTTTAAAAAGTTTCGATGATAAAAATCACTCTACTCTTGTTTATCGATATGTTGTGATAGTAGGTAAACGTATTCTTATCGATATTAATAAAAATATTTTTACGAAAATCTGAACCAATTACAGAGTTATTCATAAAGTTTATGATAACTGTAATTACTTCATCTTTGTTTAATATTTGAATAAACAATTTAATTTAATTTGCATAATTTTTTTTAGTTGAAAGACAGGAAACTTAGTTGAGTTTGTATTATTTTTATCGTTCAATTCATTGTATCAGTGAGTGATCCAGATATTTAAGATATTTAGAAAAAATTTATTAATTTGTTCAATACGCATTTCTGAGTGCTGATTCATGTGAATGATGCTGAAATTATCGTTAAATATGATTGAAATGTGTCCGGGAAATGAATTTAATTTCCCATAGGATTTTAATTATTTTTGACTATGAAGAATGTACAATATATCATAACGAAAAGAATTTTCAAAATTTTATAATTGCACAAGATAAAATGGTGTTACCCCCTTAATTTATTTTTTTTGTTTGGATGTCCAAATTACACGATTGGACACCAGACGAAGATGACTATTTAACACAGGGAAATGCAATATGTCCAGGTGACTTTCGAAAAATGGTAACTTTGTTTCATTTCAAACCAAATCACACTCCTCAAGATTTACAAGATCACTGGAGGGATATGATTGAAAATCCACTCTCTGATGATCAAGATATCATAGGCAAATTAAAATCATCACAGAACAAGTTTAAAGGCAACGTTTATCATTATTCAGAAGAATATGAATACGATTTTCCAAATTCAAAAGAAATAGAAGAAATTTTCTCAGCGATTCCTTCTCTAGCAGCGAAAACCCTATCTCCTGAGATGCAAACAAAGAACATTGAGTCACAAAATATCAATTCTTTGTCATTACATTGCTATTTTTCTGCAGAACGCGTTGAAAAGTTAGTCAGTGATGCATTTAATAGAGTTGTAGATGATGAAAACCTCAGAATTACGTTGCATAGGACTTTTAAACGAAATTTAATTGATCGTGGTCGAAAAATAACAGTAGAAAACATATCACGTATCTTAAACGACATTTCTAAGATGGATGATGCAACAACAGATACAGAATGCCAAATTATTGAACTAGATTTTGAGAATATGTTGATTTCTGTACAGAGAAAACTACAATCTGGCATTACACCTAGAATGTATGATGCAAATATGCAAGAATTAACCGATGCTTTCAATACTTTAAAGGCAATTTCGTCAAAAGTTACTTGGCCAGCGAATTTGAATGCACCTTTAGCAAAACTTCGCGAAAACATCATTGTTAAGACCGCAAAACTTTACGCTTATTTCCTTTTTTCGTATTGTACAGATCCATCAAAGATTCAACGTTATTCAACGTTTATAGAGGCTGCAGCTAAGAATGATCCAAATAACCTACTCGAATCTTACGCTCCTGCTCATCTGAAAGCTCACATCGCTCAATTGAAGCAAGGATTCGCAAACCAACCAAATTTGTAATAGAATATATAGAATATAGAACTAAAATGTCTATTTTATGAATGTTTAACCAATTTTTTTTGATAGTTTTTAAAATTTTTCATTTAATTTGAGTCAATTTTGCATCTAATTCAGATAAAATGAGTTGACATTGATGTAAAAACTCGATTTTTTTTCTGAAGTCTAAGTTAAAAATACTTATTTTATAATATTGCACAATTTTTTTATTTCGTTAGTCTTGTATTCCAAAAGAATTCCTTTCCAAATCTGCTATTAAATGTTCTTCTCCATTCCCATATGATATCACTTGCATGAATTTTGTCGGAAATTAATTTTTTTTTTAAACTAATAAGCTTGAAATCTTATTCTTCGCGTTTAAACCTTTCAATCCCCTCATATTTTGAGATACAGACACAAAGAATATGATTTCAAGTTTAGATTCATTATCATTCAGTGAGAATATATTAATTCTATACATATTGCTAGTGGATGTTTTCTCTTAAGATTTATATCGCATGTGTTAACATACCCACAAATCCAAATACTTCTAAAACTGAGAAAGTATGGAATATAAATTCCCATTAAACTTTATAAACATAACCAATAGATCACTAAAAATTTAGATTGTGTATAAGAATACTAACATGAACTTTTAAAAGATTCTATATTAATAACATTAATCAACAACTAATATAGAGGTCTACCACACTCAGAACAAGTTTCTCTATATTGAGGTGGATGGAACATCATATATTCTTGATGTTCTTCTTTGACAATTTCTAATAAACGTTCTATTTCTATCTCAACATTTTGAGGATTGAATCTTTGACCTAATGCATCTGCAAGAAGAAAACCATATCTGCTTAATGTGAGCATATCATTCTCGTAGACTTTGATGGTCTCCGTATTTTTATAGTTCTCATCTTTTGTTTTTGTCAACATCGCTTCTAATCTTATGATCTCATGATTTAATCTCTTTATTTCAGTTTGAGCTTCTTCAAACTTTTGTTCGATATTCCTTTTCTCACAAAGTGAATCTGAATACTTAAGTCTATATGCGTCTTTTTCAATTGATTCGTTAGCACTTGTTCTAACAGATTTTTCCAATGAAGAAATCTTTTCGAAAAGTTTTCCTTTTTCGTCAAGCATTGCAGCATTTTCAGATCTTAAAACAGATATTGTTTGCATTAATGTATCATAATTCTGTTTCAGTTGAGAATAAAGAGCTTTTTGCACTAAAACTTCATTTTCTGCTTTATCTGCTCTCTGATTAAGTATTTCAATATCATCATTAGTTGTTTCTTTTTCTTCTTTTGATTTAAGTTTCTGTTGCAAATCTTTGATGTTTTTCTTCAGGGCAATGATTTCTTTTTGAGCATTGATCCTTCTATGCCTTTCAACTTTAAGTTCTTTCGAAAAATTATTATGATTTGCTGAATTTTGTGAATATTCTGATGACATTCCATTTTCAGGAGAATCAATGATCGAATCATTGTGAATTTTTAGAGGGTTTATGCCTTCAGACACACTATCTTGCGTAAGCTTACTAATTTTTGATGTCTCAGAAATGGATGATTTCAAATCTTGAATTTCTTTCTTCAGGTGAACATCAATTGATTTAAGTTTTTGATATTTGACTTTCAGATCATTGTATTTTTTTAATACTGACTTCATTCTTATCTTCAAGCTTGGGTTTATCAGAATTTATATATTTTTGTCGTAATTTTGTTAATTGATCTTGAACATCCAAAAGTTGTTCTTGAAGATCTTCGGCAATTTGACTTTGCATTGATGATAGTGATCGAGATTTATCTATTTCTTCAATTATTGATCTTTTGGTTGTAGGCAAAGTATTTCCTTGGGAGTAGGCATCATTCCTCGAATTAGTACGAATCGGATTATATAAATCATTTAAACTTTTGATTTTATATGAAGATTGAAAATCTGTGTATTGTTTTTGATCCAAAACAGTTTCATTTGAGTGTAATCCTCTATTTAAAGTTGATAATCGATCAATTAATAGTTTTAATAGCTTTGAAACCTTTCTATCAACCATTTTTTCATCCTGAATGTCTTTAACTAAAAGATTGGCATCGGTTTGATCTATCCCTAGAATATTTCGGACTTGCTCAGCATTGTGATCTGCAATGTAGCCAATGGTTTCAATCTTATCACTATAATAGGTCATTTCTCAATCTGCTTAACGTACAGTATTTTGAATTAAGAATTTCAGTCGGTCATTTTAAATATATACATGGAGAAACATACAAAGATGATGGAATTCTTGTTTGAGTATCAAATTTTAAAAATTATATTCTTATTCTTTTTTTAAGAGATTACAAGTAAACCAAAATTGTGGATATAAAGGTTATTTATTTAGAAAGACAATTAAGCAAAATTCCGTAAATCGATATAATTTCATTAAAAGCAACCAAACCTCTTCTTTTTCTTTGGTTTCTCTTCAACGACAATTTTAGATGGCGTTTCGGGTTCTGATTTAGATGTGTCTAATTGAGTAGCAATGCTGAGCATTAATTCTTCGATTCCAGCACCACTTAAAGCAGAAACTTCGAAGTAATCGACATTAATTGATTTGGCGAAATTTTCGGCTTGTTGTGATGGAACTAAGCGGGTTTCATGAAGGTCTGCTTTACTGCCAACGACAATGATTCTGGGAATTGGATTGCAGTTTGTTTGAATATTTTCATACCAATCTCTAAGATCATCAAAAGAAGTAGCATCTATGATTGAATAAACAATTACAATAACACTTGAACCACGGAAAAACGATGGTGCCAGTGCCCTATAACGTTCTTGGCCAGCAGTATCCCATAAATCAAGTGTGATTTGCTTGCCATCCACTTCAACTTCTTTTTTCATATAAGACGCTCCGACTGTGGGGTTAGCAGTGTCAAGATAACTATTATTCACAGTTCTATTAATCAGGCATGTTTTTCCTACTCCCGAGGATCCAACAAAGCACACTTTCACGTTTACCATTGAATAGGTCTGATTAGAAAATTGTTGAAAAAAAAGAAGATTAGAAAAACAATCTACAACACTTTAATTTCTCTTAAAATATGAATTTTACTTTTTATGATTTTCTGACATTTTTGTTCAATCAATTTATGACTAAATTATATTTCGCATTGTAATTTCTATCAACAAGTAGGCATGTGGTAGCATTTTTACCCACTAGAACAAATGGAATTAAGAAATTTCATTTCGACAAATGTCGAACTATTGAAATGATTCATAAACTAATAACTAATTAAACTATAATAAAAACATTTTATAATACAAAGAGAAAGAAAATAAATACCCTCAATTTTTAACTTTTGCAACTCCAAAAACCAGGTGTTTTTCCAGAACTACCATCTAGGATGAGTCCTAGGAGCTATAATTCTAGGGTTAGATGATACCCACTTAGTACTTTTATTTGTATATGTTTTAGTGGAATTTGGTGAGGGGTCATGAAATTCGTATCTAATTTGCTATCATCTAAGCTGGTAAAAGTTAGAGAAAGCTATTTACTGGTTGTATATTACAAATATACCTTGTAATAGAAAATATAAGTGTTTGTGATTTAAATTCGCTCAATTAGCTCGAAAATTTGTTTTATATCCATAACAAACTAACACAATCCTATTTATGTGATTGCCAATCTGTTCCCAAAATATATCAGCATGAATATATATATATTGATATTACCCAGATTTGCTTTACTTTTACCACTCCCCATGTAATTTCTGGGGAAAACGATAATTCATTTTTTTTTATGGATGAATAGATCGTTTTCCTAGAAAGGACCTCATATCTCTGGCTAAAAAGAGTGTCAGATCCTAAATAGATTATTGATCTAGTGTACAAATCCAATAAAAAGCCTATTTTTTTGGCTTTTTTGGTGCTCATTTTTTCGAAGATCTACATGAATATGGGGAAACCATCGGATTTTTTTGGTTAACCCACATCTTCATGTAGTCTGGACTATCTTTCCTCGAAGGACCTCTTTACGGGTGTAAAAACTCATAAAGTTCTCAAAAGATTCATTCTCGATCTCCATGCTGAAAGAATTTACAATAAAAAAGAGATCTACGCATCAAACTACAGCCATAAATGAACTGAACCCCTAAAGCTCAGCTCTTAGTTTATCAAAAACGTCGAAATCCTTCTCATTGCAATCAAATTTTCTCAATAACTCATAAGAAAAATCGAATTTTGATTAAGCCGATGTTATAGGTATCACAAATACTACAAACTTGAGCAATATCGAAATTGCCAGCAAAAGTTTGAAATTGCATTGCTCATATTTGTTTTGTAAACTAAAAATCTGCTTATATTATTCATTAATTTTTTATATATTATTCATATACTTTAATAAAAACAATACTATTTCACCTTAAAAATGAATTTCATAAGTCAATATTATTTTTTTGAAAATGTATCAATTTTCGATTAAAACAACATGAGAATAAAATTTACGCAAAATTATTTTAAAAAATGGTTTTAAAAATTTACAATTGATTAAGAATAAGATTGCAAGAAGTTTTGAAGTTTAATTTTAAGAAAAAAAATTCGGATATTATTCATGGATCTAAGTAATCTGATATTTGAGTATCGGCACTATGCATAAAACATATATTTATAGTTTTTTTGGATTTTTATGATTTTAAATATATTCAAATTTGGCAATCCAATAGATTTTTAAAAAATAGGTAAATAAAAATAGATTACATATGCAGCAGATTTAGAACATGAAACAAATCTTATAGTGACCCAAAAAAAAATTCATGATCCAAAAAAGAAAAATATTAGCTAAATGGGAATCAAACCTTGGCATAACAAATCATTATGTCAGATGTTTCCACTACACTACACCGGTAGTTCGAAAAATACCCTGGGTGGTTCTATTTAATAGCTACTCCCAACGATAGGCGGTGTCCCCAGCTTTCGAGAGGTGGTAAAAGTAAAGCAAATCTGGGTATTTGCAATTTCATCATTAAATAGTACTTTTTTTCTATTTTTAATTTAGAAATAGTATATTTATATGATAGCGACACAAGATTTTAATTAAAAAATATATGTTATCGATCATCACACTCAAATTGAATTTCAAAAATTTTAGAATTTTTCAATTTCAATATTGAAAATATATTTCTTATATCATAGCGATTCATGTTATAATAATATGGAGAAAAATATTGTTTTAAATCTAAAATTTAAAATGAATGATTGGGCATTATATTAATCCAATTTATTGTTTATTTGTTATTCTAGTGGAAACAATTAATATTTTGGAGAAACAAAAATTTGAAATTTGAAATTTTGAAAAAAATGCATGAATCGGTAATTAAACATTGATTTATTAATTTATTAGCCATGCTTTTGATGTTGGTCTTATTCTTAAGCCGATTTAAAGAATTAATTTTTCCAAATCGTGTTTGACATTAACACATATAGATATATCAGGAAAAAAGGTATCACTTATCAAGTTATTGGTTTTTATGTATCTCCTAACTTTGCCTCGTTCTGAATACAATTCTAGTTAACGAATTTTAAATAACTATATGAAGAATACATCATTTTGGTTTTATTATTATTAAAATGATATATATTAGCTATGTATATGCTTGTAAGAATATTATTCCGTGAATTGGAAACAGAAAAAATAAATTTAGACAGAAAATGCATATCTTTAAAAAATAATATGAAATTTAGCTTTGATATTATTATCCGATAAAATATGCATGATAATTACTCCGCAAATAAAATTTAGGAAGCAAGTTGTGACGGTTTGGGCGGTTTTCAATGGCCCACAAGGAAGGAAGTATCGTTTTATCAGGCAACAAGAGGTCTTGAAATGAGTAAAGGACTGATCACCCTTGAAAGGTTCAAACTTGCTTGCGCGCCGCAGTCTTAAAAATGATATGTTTCACTTCTGGTCGAAAATTTCAACCTCTATGACAGTTGTTGGATGAACAATTGTGTAGCGGGATGAAATCTGAGTGCGGCCTGGGGCTGCAGCATCAATCTTCCCGGCATCTTTACCGCAATCATCTCTTAGATTGCACACAAAGTTGCGAACGAGCAGTTTTCTATGCGGTAAAGATGCCGGAAAGAGAGAGTCGATGTGAGGTTCTTTTCGAGGGCTCCTCGAATGAGACACTGTTCCGCATTCATAACTTGAACGCGGAAGTTTGACCGACAAGAGTGTATTGTGCACTCCTGTCGGTCGCAGTGTCTCATTCTGGGAGACATTGCCTCTGCATGTCTCCCAGAATGGAACAATGTTCCGCATTGATAACTTGAACGCGGAAGTTTGACCGACAAGAGTGTATTGTGCACTCCTGTCGGTCGCAGTGTCTCATTCTGGGAGACATTGCCTCTGCATGTCTCCCAGAATGGAACAATGTTCCGCATTCATAACTTGAACGCGGAAGTTTGACCGACAAGAGTGTATTATGCACTCCTGTCGGTCGCAGTGTCTCATTCTGGGAGACATTGCCTCTGCATGTCTCCCAGAATGGAACAATGTTCCGCATTCATAACTTGAACGCGGAAGTTTGACCGACAAGAGTGTATTATGCACTCCTGTCGGTCGCAGTGTCTCATTCTGGGAGACATTGCCTCTGCATGTCTCCCAGAATGGAACAATGTTCCGCATTCATAACTTGAACGCGGAAGTTTGACCGACAAGAGTGTATTATGCACTCCTGTCGGTCGCAGTGTCTCATTCTGGGAGACATTGCCTCTGCATGTCTCCCAGAATGGAACAATGTTCCGCATTGATAACTTGAACGCGGAAGTTTGACCGACAAGAGTGTATTGTGCACTCCTGTCGGTCAAAGTTTTGCAATCACATTCTGATTGCAGAAGATTGTCTCATTCTGGGAGACATGCAGAGGCAATGTCTCCCGAAATGATACCGTCATACCAACACCAATTTATTCCTTCTTTCCATTGTCATACAATTCAATATTTTTATCAATCTTAATCAACTTTTTTTATTCTTCTTTAATTCAATTTATCTTTCTCCTAGAATATCTATTCCTTTAACAGACATAAAATCACTAATCGAGCTTTTTCAATACTCAAAATTTCATATAAATCTTTGTTATTTTTTCTCTCATCGCTTATTTTATTAAATATACATATTTCCTCTCACATATCCCTCTTCATATATATTGGATCTCAACACTCATCTATTAGAACAATATATTTTCGCTTAATCTCATATTATTCATTAACAATCTTTCATCTTCTTATTTCTAGTTAACCTACCAATATATATATAGAATATATGCCCAATTACATATTCAGATACATTAAATTCAAGAAATTCTTCTAATATTATTCTCCTATTCATAATAAAATCATATTTAGTCTCACATCACAATTCTATCAGTTCTCCAATATCATATCATATTGGTAACATCACATATATCTCTTATAATATCACTTAAATTTGTATTTTTTTATTAATTATATTTAATTAGTTCTACATTCTATTATTATAGAGGTTTGACAAACTCATCAATAGTTAAAATCAAAATCTATTCAGAACTTTGAATCTAATGAAAATTACATTTCGATATCTTTTTGCAAGCTTAATTTTTTGTATTATCTTAAAATACATTTAGTAATGTTATGTACGTATTGAATTCAAATTATAGCGCAGTAACATGCAACTCATATTGAGATTCACATTTCATTTTCACAATTATTGCATATATACATCAATAACATATTGTACTTATATATCTACACGACTCTAAACTCAATGACATCAAATAATGCTTGTAATATTTAAAATAATTTTTGCATTTTTGATTCTCAGCTTAACTTCTATAAATGTCACCAAAACATTTCATTCCTACCAAGAAATAATATATTAGTAATTAAGCGTTTATTACCATTGTTACTCACATCATATTAATTCATTTTTGTAATTTTTTAAATAAATGACTGGAATCATAAACCCTATGTACCCATATCAACATGTTAAAATTTCAAAGTCTGAAACTTAGTATACATTGAGTTTCATGAAATCAGATAATCTCGTAGATTTCTTAAATATTATATATTGCTGGCCAATAATGATGCAGCATGATTCTCCATCATATCAGCATTCTAAACATATCTTTATTTTGTCAATTGGCATAAATTAAGGGTGCTTTTCAGGCGATAAATGGTATTTTAGATACCTGGGGAGGGGGTCATGAAAAAGTTGCAAAAGTCAAAAATTGAGGGTACTAAATTTAATTTTTAATTTGATTTTATTTACTTAAACCTATAATTATCCATACTCCATCTGGTTTAATCACTTAAACTTCGAACAAATAATAATAACTTATATCATTTTTAGATTCCGCATTTGAATCCAATATATAAACTTTTATTTAAGAACGCGATGAATTGTAATCATGGATTCAATCATATCCATGAGCAAGGTTAATACGTTCAGCTGTCAGTATTTATCTTACTCTCCATCTAAACATGAATAGATTTTTTTTTCAAATATCCGTCCAAACCGTTTACTTGTTCTCTTAAATTTCAAATCTTTTCTTAATGAGTCTCATTGATTAGTATTCATATTGAAATACTAGAACGATATGCAACTGTATAAGCCATCGAATAGATCCATTTTTAATGATCTTTTATCTTCATTTTGTTCGTAAAAGATTATTTGAAAATCCGATCGGAATATTCTGATAAATCGGATTACCATTTTGAACATTTTAATTTCTTGATATATAGAATGAATGACTAATGTACATCATCATTTGAGGTATAAAATCGTTATCTGCCAATATTGTTTTTTAATGTGGTTTGAAATTAAGGAGAAAATCATCGATTAGGGAACTGATGTAATGTATAGTTAATCAACTTAAAACGAATATTCGCGTAATTAGCACTTTTTATCGATTATTTCCCATAGATAGTCATAAATTTATCGATCAAACATACATTAACAATATTTTGGGAACAATTTCTTAAAAATATAATCTATACAACAAACATATCAATAACACTCTATTAAAACGTAGAGGCAGAATAATTCAATCAAAATTAAAGTTATTGACACTTTTCTGGAGAAATTTTCCTTAGAGAATTAAAATATGCCAAACTTTTTATTTTAAAACCCTAAGGATGAGCATCAAAGCCCCACCACTCCCACCTTATAGCTTTTTCAATGCTCCAATCCCGAAAGTGAATAGATCCTTATTTCCAATAGATCCTGCAATCTTTGCAAAATCAATACCTCGCCCATGCCGTCCAATCGGGCAAATCATGAAAAAGTATGCGGTGAAGCCAATACAAACTATTCAACCTTCTAGGAAGGAAAGCTTTGAATCTTTTTCTTGTTTTGAATTTCTCTTACAAGAATGAACAAAAACAAGCAACAAGCATAATATTAAACAGCAACTTTAATACTTTAAGACACTATTTATTTATATTTTTTTCAAATCATTTGTTCATTTTTGAACTTATGATATCATCAGTTTACAGACAAACCAAGAATCATGTTACATTTTTTATACATGTTTTAGTTCTTGGTAAAATGAAAATTGCAGACTCTCAAAAAACTAGTAGTAGGATAAGAAGGGTTGTGTGACTTTTTTTGTTACATCTATATATAGACGATGCATTAAAATATATTTATTTATAAATCATTAAAAAATTAACATTAATTTTAAAATAATTTATTTTTTATCTTTTATAAAAGAAGCTATATATAGATGATGTCAGATATTCCGCGATTAATTAAACATTGTTTAAATCCTGAATGGGTTAAACTTCAATTTAAAAATGAAGATTGTGAATTATTAAATGAATATGAAAGCCAAAATAAGCTAATGAGGTATAAATATAATGATAAAGAATATTTAATTTCATGGAATCAATGGAGTCATAATCAAAGACCTCATAAACGAGAAGAAGAAATTGAAAATAATGAAATGAAAAAAAAAAAAAAAAAAAAAAAAAAAAAAAAAAAGGTAGTGGGGCCTCCAGGCACTTCGTGCCCTCTAGCCCTGAAGATGTTTAGTATAACTTTGTCCGGACAAGTAAGGGTCTATCGTCGCTACAGGAAAAGTTACAGGCGTTCCAAGGAAGTATACTTTGAGAAGCCTTCTTCTGGGTCGAAAACATTATATAATGTGTCGCTTTTCACAAATTATATATGTTTTCATGTTTTGTCACTTTTCTGTCACTTTTCGGGTAAAAACATTTTTATTATTATATATAAATGAATTTTACAAAACCACCGTTACCGTTCTTTGGAAATAAGGGTAAATGTAAAGATATTATATTGAGAGAACTTAAGAAACTACCGAATGGTCTAACATTTGTAGATTTGTTCGGTGGAAGTTTCTATATATCCCATTTGTGCCATACAATATTCCCAGACTCAAAGATTATATGCAATGACTTCGACAACTATATGGACCGTCTCAAACATATACCAGACACAAACAATATATTGAAAGCGTTAAAAGAAAAGATACCTATAGGTAAGATGGAACGTATACCATTAGATAAGAAAAATATTGTGAGAGAGGTTTTGAAAAAAGCAGAATATATAGACTGGGATAGTATATCTGCTAGACTATTATATAGTGGTGCTATAAGAGTTCATGACATTGAAACACTTATGTCAAAAGTTTTATATCTTAACTATACAAATGTTTTCAAAGAGAACATAGAAAAATATATTGAGGGTATAGAGTTTGTGAGATGTCATTGGACAGAGTTGTATGAAAAATATAAAGACAAGGAAAATGTTTTCTTTATAGTGGACCCGCCGTTCTATAACACATGGGATTTTCAATACCAAGTAGACTGGACTTTGAGAGACTCTTTAGAAACTTTAGACGTTTTACATAACCATCCATGCTTTTACTTTACATCCGATAAAAGTGGTTTGGAAACCGTTATGAGATGGTTAGAGGACATACATGACTATGTGTTTAAATATGACAAGATAGAATATGAGAGAGGTCCTATAAACCGGAGAAAGTGTCATAACAAAGAAATTTTATTAGTAAGTAAATGTGGTTTGAAATAGGACTACTTGTTTTAGGTTTTTTCCATTGTGTCATTTATTTATTTGACGTGGCAGAAAAGTACAGAGAATATGAAGATGAACCAATGCCTGCAAATGTTCAGCATATGTACTCGTAAGAGATATTTTTATCTAATATTAAATGGACGCACAGAACTTAGCGAATGCACAGCAACCTGGACAACCAAACCCAGAGAATATTCCAAATGAAGTTAGAATACAAACTGCAATGGCAAACTATGGTCAAGTGCCAACAGATGTACAAATGCAAACTGCCATGTCAAATGACGCTGCGTTAGGTTTGCCACCATGGTATGCAAATATGAGATGGAAAGAGTTTTATACAAACCCTGAAGTGGGATATAAACAACTTTATGCAGATGACGCGAACACAGGAGTTGACCCAGAATATGTTTTCTACCAGAGGAGAAACAGAATGTATGAGCTCCAGTTAAAGAATGCTATGGAACTCAACAGGAAACGCAAAAGACTAGGCGGACATTAGATTTTACATATAGTAAAATGGGTTTCTTCAGTAAGATAGGAAACTTCTTTCGAAATGTTGGAAGAGGTATATGGAATGGAATAAAAACCGTAGGAAGAGGAATTTGGAACGGAGTCAAAAATATTGGTAAAAGAGTAGGTCAGTTTGTTGGTATTATACCTAAAGACCCTGAACCAGAAGAGCAAGCTCCTGTTATACAACAGCCTGAACCTGCACCACAGTCTAGTTGGCAACCAAATCCAACACCTCAGCCGTATTAAAAAATTATATTTTTGCCGTTCGATAGTAGTTGTATATGAAACTAAGTTCTAAGTAAAACGCATGGTATAATGGAATTATTCTTTTTCTTCCATCTGTAGTAAACCATACTTGAAAGTCTGAAATACTTCCACTTGGTGGTTCGTATAACTTTGTAGGTTTTTCGTAAAAGTCATTTGCCAAGCATAAGAAAGAGTTTTGAGCGCCAGAAAATGAAGCATGAACAATAATAGCATCTTGGTCGAAAACATTTTCATATGTTCCATTAGGGTTTTCGACTTCATAAAAGTCTGGGTGTACTGGATATGCTGCAGGCTGATTTAACATCCTCATAAATCTATACCATGCCAAGTTGTTATATTTTGTAGAAATATAAACGTTTTCTCCAAGGTCTTCTATTCTATTGATTTTAACAGTTGCATTTTTCCTGTCATAAATAATATCGAGATGGTACTCTCCCTCGTCAATGTTATACTGGTTTGCATATTCGATATAGATGTCGTTTATTTTTTCTTGAAAAGCTTGAAGAGTTGTTTCTAAGTTTACAAGCAAACTAACTTGTAAAAGTTTTCCCTGTTCAAATTTCTCATACATACGTTTTTCTTTGTTATAGTATCGAACTTCAAAACCGACCGTAAATGGGAAACCATGTATGGCTTCTGAAATGAACTTCATTCTACGAAAGCCAATAGCTTTTGTGACAGATGGGTCTCTTAGCCATCTTAATGGGTAGTCAAAACGATAGCCTTCATGCTTTACGGTCTCTGTCTCAAACTTTTGACCGACATTAGTAAAAAGTTCATCTAATGGTTTAGTTGTAGCAACTCTTGAATTTTCTTTTTCTATTGAAAGCATATTTTATCTAGAATAAAAATGTCGAAAGATATTGCTTCCATAAGAGAAATACAACACAACCGACAACTCATTATGCAAGCTCTAAATAAGAACACAACAAACTTTTCAAACTATTCTAAGATATCTGAATCATTGAAAGAAGGAAACTTAAAACTGACATTAAACCCAATGACAGATGAGTTTCTGTTTCAAGACAAGAAGAACAATACTGTCTGTATAAATCCAACAAAAGGAACTTTAAACGAGAAACCTATAAATGAACTTCTTTTGAAAGCAGATGTTGACAACAAAGCTGACAAAGAATATGTAGACGATGCAATAGCAAAAGAAGAAGAAAGAGCTAACAATGCTTATGCAACAAAAGAACATACTCATCCTGAACTAGCAGACAAAACATATGTTGACAATAAAATGTCAAGTGAAGTGACAAGAGCTGAAAACGAATATTCTAAAAAGACTCATACACATTCTATATCTGAAATAACAGACTTAAACGTTAGCCTTGAAAAGAAAGCAGATAAGGAATATGTGGCTAGTAAGTTAGAGAAGAAAGCGGATAAGGAATATGTGGATGAAAAAGATAACGAAATGAAAGAAAGGGTTGACTGGTACCATGAATGGACATCGAAGACTTTTAAAGTTAAAGCCGATACAGGATGGGTTTCAGGATGTTTAGACCTTAAAGCAGATAAAACTTATGTTAACGATGAGTTAGAGAAGAAAGCAGACAAGAACCATACACATACAAGTTTTACAACTGTTGCTATAGAAAGTATTGAAGGAACGGTTGAAGAAACTGGTGGGGATGCAATATATTGTAAACCTCCTAACTTTCCACAAGGTTTAACATCGGATGACGACATAACGACGATGAGAAACATTAGATGTAAAGATGTTTATGTCATGAAGGATGAACATAATATTAAATTCACTGCTCAAGATTTATATGACAAGAAAGCAGACAAAACAGAGCTTCAAACATTAAAGACAGAAATACTTCAAACATTATATCCTATAGGCTCTATTTATACGTCAATGAACTCTACCAGACCAGAAGTAGTACTTGGTTTTGGAACTTGGACTCAAATAGTCGACAGGTTTTTGTATTGTGCAAACTTTCAAAGGAAACAGGTGGAAGTAAAACGATTTCAGGTGAAAATTTACCTGCACATAGTCACTATAGATTTAAGTACATCTCAAGCAGGTTGGCATAAGCATAAATTTTTGGGATTGGTCAGCAATGACAAAAGGTAAAGGATATGATGTTAAAGACAACGTTCAGTTTGCTATAAATTGTTTCTGGGGTAACACTCAGGGAGATGGAAACCATACACATCGCGTTTCAGGATATACGCAAACAACGGGACAAAGTAAAGACTACATGCCACTTACATGACAGTTTACGCATGTATAGAAATGCTTAGTCGTCATTTTCAACTTCTTAGCATATTCGTCAGGAGTTGTCTTATATTTGTTAGAACTGTCTTTGAAAGTATACCACCTTGAACTTTGACAAGTTTGAAACGAGGTCTGACAATAGTAGTTTTATCTTCTGCTTGCAGTGTGTACATTTTGCCATGTTTGCCTAAAACTTATATATCTTCTTGTATATTTCTTCTATTTTACGAACACGAATGTGAGTACCTGTCGGGTTCCCATTGTTGTCATAGTCAATAGTATTTTCATATGGGTCGCGTTTAGTATTTCTATTTTTACTTTGTCACTTTCTGAAGTTTGAAAGCCCGGCATTCTTTCTTGTTTGTCTCTTTTGACTAAATTTTAAATATATAGTCTTTCTCTAAGTCGGGTTGTTTTTCATTTCTTCGGGGGAGGTTTCCCAAACCTTTTTGTTTACGGCTATTGTAAATATTTAAACTTGTCTCATCTTTGCCATGGAGAAGTGTCTATACTTGTCGTCATATGACATTTCATTTGCTTCACCACCTTGTGGTTGGTTTAAGTCTCTTAACATTTTTATACAACCGTCAATGACACCAAGAGCAGAATGGTTTTGGTCGACAATGAAATATTGGTTTACATTTTTTGAACGCAGATAGTTTTTACATCATCTGATTTGAAAGAACTTTCATAGTCAGATGTCAGTTTTGTTGGATGGTATTTGTCAACGAATATTGTCAAAGCTGCTAAGATATCTAAAATAGCTTTGGACTGTAATGGTATGGCTTCACAGTATCTTGTGTTTTGACCGACAAATATTAGCCAGTATGGTGGTCCATCTTCTCTATACCTCGGAATGTTTTCCAAGATATCCATAAACCAAGCATTTGGTGTTGAACTAAAGATTTTACCATGAGTGCTTTCTTTGTCGCTTTAGAAACATAGGGGTCCTTGTTTGGATTCGTCATTTTTTATCCTATAAGAAATGGGTTTATTTGGCGCATTAGCAGGAGTTGCATCCAGATTTTTGCCCGCAGTTGGAACAATAGCCAGAGGTGTATTTGGAGTTGGAAGGAAGATTTTGAGTACATTAGGTATACTTAAAAGAAAGCACAACCTATTATACAAACTGTACAGAAAGGTTGGGATGTAGCACGAGATGCAACAAATCTTATTCCAAATCCTGAAACAAGAGGAAAAGTTCAAGGATGGATGGACAATGTAGGAAGACAAGCAGGAAACTATTATAACAAAGCAAATAACTACTATAACCAAGCAGGACACTATATGGACCAAGGTGAAAGATTCTTTAACAGAGGATATAACCATGCACAACAATGGGTAAACAATAACCAACCTCAACCGCCTCAAACGTGGGGAATGTAAAGTTTTTTACTGAGATGAAATGAACAATACAGCATTGAGACAAATGGGTTCAAGATGGATTTGTCGGCTTCCAGCAGTTACACCACGTGTTTGTCAAGTTCTTCCTATACCTCAGGAAGTTTTAGACCGACTTAAAAAACAACAACAACCAGTTGAAAACAAACCAAACTAAAATTTTTTACTGAGATGAAATGACCGAAGAAGTTGAAACGGTAGATTTGACACCACAAACAAAAAGTTCAGAACCATTGTCAAAACCTGTCAAAGAACTTACAGATGAAGAGAAAAATTCAATAATAGAAAGTGCCAGGTCTGGAAATACAAACCCTAACTACAAAGTCACTTTTCATAAAAATGGAACGGCTAGTATCTCAAAAAAGAAACAGACTCTCACAAATAAAATATTGAAGTCTGAAGGAGCTTTCGAGACAACAGATGGAAAAGTTTACTTCACTGACCAACAGTTCATTATAGAACATCTCATTGACTTAGAGTCGAAATATTCTAAACTTTACAACAAACACAAAAAGTTGAAAGGAAAACAAAAACAAATGGCATATGATATTTATGAAGATGTTGACGACACAACTGTTCCTGCAAGTGAAGTAAAGTCAGAGAAACCGAAAAGTGACGAAAAACCGATAGAAGAAGAAAAACCAAAAACTGAAGATAAACCAAAACCAAAGTTTAGTTTGGAAACTAAACCAAGTCAACCTTCATTAGCTGGTATGGGTTGGCGTCAAAGACTTATGGCAGCAGGCGGTTATGTAAAGTAAAGAAAAAATATTTTTTTATTTTTATAAAAATGCCCCCATATAGAATGGATAGAAAATCTGCTAGAATAAAAGCAGAGTTGCAAAGATATGGTTGGAGAGTTTCGAAGAAGTTTAAATATAGGAAGGGAAGACCCATAAAAGTCTATGACAAATTGTCTGGTCTTCGCTACGAAATGGATTTGGAAACAGCACGTGCAAATTATCCAAACAGACTAGAGAGGTTAGAAGAAGAACGTCTTATGGACATGCCTTTCGATGTTAGTGAACCTCAAGTTGAAGGACACGACGGCTTTGCCAGATTCTACTGGAAACATGACGAACAATTGCATCCTTTGAGAAGGAAAAAAGGAAAAGGTGAAGACACACATGCTCCCATGGAAAGAACAAGATATGCATATGAAAAGTATCGTGAAGTTAGAAGTCAAATTATATCTGGTCGAACCTTTACAGTAAACTTTGACGAAGGAAAGAACAAAGAAGGCTTCATGGGAGTACTTGCTGCCATACAAGACGGAAATAAGAAAGGACACAATCTCAGATTGACCATAACAGATTTGGATGGTCACATTTACTATGCAAATGGCAATGAACAAACAGCTGCAAAACTTCTTGACGCTTTCAAGACTACAAAGAGAGAACAATGGTTGACTCCGACTCAGACATTTTGAATGCAATTGAAGGAATTGCAAGTGTCAAGTTCGAATGGTACCAACCTAACCCTCAAGCAGTCAGACAACATGCTGGATACTTCCCCTTCATAAATAAGTCTGACATTGACTTGACAAGGTATGGAATTTACAATTCAATTGAAACAATTGTCAATGAACCTTGCATTCTACATGTCTCAGGAACTCTGGTCTTGTTACAGATGAGAAGATGAAGTATCTTGAGTCATGTGTGAAGACAAGGTACATTCTCAGAGGTCAATTGGCAAAAATTGCACCGTTGGCAAATGTCAATATCCGAGTCAACATACCTACAGCTAAAGGTTCTTCACATGACGACTATGTTGTTGAGTTCAATTTACCATGGTTGAAGATTGTAATTGTCCACAACCACTTCATGTTGAACGAAAGTCTTACAAACCCATTGTTCGAAAAGGCAAGTGCAACATTGTCAGAGCTGTAAACATTCTTTTCGAGAAAGGTTTGTTGGAACCAATTCCAGATGACAAGCTGACAGAAACTTTTGTACCAAAAGACGAAACAAACTTTTCACTGTTAGCAAGACCAAAAGTTGTTCCAGACAAAGTTCTAGTACAAAAGAAGTACACAATTCCACAAGGAGTTGGATTGTTCGGATACCAACCTGAACCAGAAGAACTTCCAATGAGTTGCAAGAACTTCAAGATGCTATAAACAAACTTCCATTGAGACATCCAATTGACGTCAAATTGTATTGGAGAGCATCTGAGTTAGGTCAGAAGGTTTTATATGAAACAGGTTGCTTCGACGATGTTTATGAGATAACAGGAGAAGTTTCTCAGAAGATAAGAGACTCACTTGAATTTCCACAAACTGGACCAATTGGTTGTGACAAGTTCGACTCAAACGAAAAGATATACTATGTCGACCTTAACGCTGCATACATGAGGTTTGTCCAATATATTCCGACTGGAATTCCAAAACGAAGATGGTGAGTTCCCGGAAGGAACTATACAGTTGGAAAAGTCATACAACAACTGTATGATATTAGGAAAGCTTCAAACCCCAAACTTGCAATGACACTCAAATTGCTTATGAATTCGACATGGGGATATTCCATTAAGAAACCTCAAGAGATGAAGAGTAAACATTATGAGAAGGTCGACAACTTTGTTGAAAGGTTTTCTCCTTTTGTTTTGAAGTACGAATTCACTCAAGGTCAAAGTGGCTTAGTAACCACATTAAAACCTATTGTCGAACATTGGTCTTACCCTCAGTTCGCAAAGGCAGTCCTTGACAACTACAACAAATTCTTCTCCGAAGTCAAATCCAAAGTGAAGGTTTACTATGAGAACATTGACGCACTCATGACGAACGAAGAAGGATACAACAAACTCATTGAAATGGGAATGGTCGGTGAAAAGATGGGTCAATTCAAATTGGACAAAATTTTCACCGAAGTTCATGTCCTCTCCAAGCGTAAGTACTGGGGCATACTTGAAGACGGCACAGAAATAAAACATTGCATGAAGTAAAAATTTATTTTTAAAAAAGTGACATTTTTTTTATTTTATTTGAAATGTACGCTGAGTTTGTTGGAGAAGACCGTTGGGAAACTTGTTTGTTAGATGAGAAATATGAAATGGCATACCATTTTAAAACAATATATTTTTACATATATTAAATGCTTCAGGTTGAAAAACAAAGAACAAAAGTAGCAGATACAAAACCGTTAGACTATATCTTTACAAATGCTGGTAGGACTATTTCAGATGAAGAAATTTCATCCCGAGTATACAGGTTTGACTATCCAATTCGTTGGCTTCAAAGTCCTTCAGATGCAAAGGCAATAGGATTTAGAAGAGTTTTGTTTTCAAATAGAACTAACGCATTTATGTTCGCAGTATATTTTCATGGGCAGTATAAAGGTTCTGATGGTCTAATAGACAAATTCGACGAAATGAGATCTTTACAGTTCGTTCAGACGAAAGTCTTGAGAAAACTCTAAATGACTTTCAAACTCAAATGAACAAATATTATTGGGAATTTCAAGAAAAATACGACTCTTTACTAAATGGAACATACTATCTGAAACTAGAATATGACAAGATGAACTCCACCGTTTCATTTCAAAAGATTGAAATTAACCCTCCAAGAGATACAGAGTTTTTATTTTGGAAAGTAGACAAACGTTCTTGGGCACAATTTCTTCGGTTACTAAACCAGAACGAACCATTACCACCAGATGGTCCATTTCAATTTATACTTCCACCAGCAGATTTGACAGTTTATAGAAACGTATTTGACCCTCAAAATGTTATGTGTCATGCAAGTTTCAGTTCAAGCAACAATAGTTTTCTATGTATTGGTAAGGACTTTTATGACTTTGCTTCTAAATTCTACGAACCACCTAGTAACAGTTTCTCTGACTTTCAAGTTTGGTTCACAACAAATGGTGTGCAACATATTATTCCATTGTACTATGACTTTTATCTCGAATTGTCTTTCATATATAACTACGGAAAAGTGCTGAAAAAGTATTGAAAAATACTTTTAGGGTAGCATGTTAGATCTAACACGTTTTCTAACCTCATGAATTTGTCATGACTTCTTCGTAAATGTTTTGTCAAGACTTCTTCGTAAATGTTTTGTCAAGACTTCTTCGTAAATGTTTTGTCAAGACTTCTTCGTAATGAGTGTAAAGGACCCAAAAATATAATTTAGGGTAGAAGGTTAGATCTAACCTCTTTTCTACCCTCATTTCACCTCATGAATTTGTCATGAATTTCCTTAAGATAGAAAAAATAAAGTTAGTTTTATTTTGTATTTTTTTGTATGTAAGATATGATTTCAGGGATTTTTTTGACGAAGTGTTACTCTTCACTTCGTCAAAAAATAACAGTTATCTAATGAAAAAGTGTCATTTTATTTTTTTATTTTGTATGTAAGATATGATTTCAGGGATTTTTGACGAAGTGTTTACTCTTACTTCGTCAAAAAATAACAGTTATCTAATGAAAAAGTGTCATTTTTATTTTTTTATTTTGTATGTAAGATATGATTTCAGGGATTTTTTTTGACGAAGTGTTACTCTTCACTTCGTCAAAAAATAACAGTTATCTAATGAAAAAAGTGTCATGATTTCATCGTAAATGTTTTGTCAAGACTTCTTCATCGTAAATGTTTTGTCAAACATGAACGTAAATGTTTTGTCAAGACTTTTCATCGTAATGAGTGTAAATCAGACAAAAATAATGTTTAGGTGAAGTGGTGCGATCTCACCTGTTTTTTCACCTCTTTTTTTCACCTCTTGAATTTTCATGAATTTTCCCGAAATAAAAAATAAAGTTAGTTTATTTTTTTTATTTTTTTTATTTTGTATAAAAAAATAAAATGTCAACAATCGGCAAACAACACTTCAAACAACTACAGCACAACTCGTTAGTCATGAATCCTACGTCAATGTTAGTAGAGATGAAAAAGCTTCATTCCTTCTTCATATACTTTCGAAACAGAAATCCAGAAGATAAAGCAAGAACTTTTAACATGTAATTTAGACTGTAGTGCGAAAGATGAAACAAATGAACAGTATCTTTATGACATGCAGGACCTCATCGACCATTTACCCAAATTGCCTGAAATTCAGCAACAAAAACTAACCATTCCTGAATTTGACGAAATTGAAGTCAAAGCAACTGACTCAGTAGAAATAAAGAAGTTCATTCGTAAGGTATAACTATGAGTTTCTAGGATTTCATTGCAACCATAAGGTTATGGACAAAGATTGCGACATGGTATATAAGAATGTTTCTGACATAATAAATCTGAAGAATTTAAGACCTACGACAACTTTGTTTCGTTAGTTGCTGAATGTGTATGGCAGATAAGAGATAAAGATAGAAGAGGGAAGGTATGGAACAAACAGATAAAACCAGCAGCTTTTGAGATGAAGAAACCATTGACGCTTTAGTTGTTTTAGCAGGTAAGGTTTCAGAATATAACGCAAAAATGAACCCGCAATGTTCAAAATGTAAGGCAGCAATGAGGAAATATAACTACTCCGTCAAAGAGATAGAACGGTATGAGAAACGACTATGCTGACTTAAAGACAGATATGTCAAACATTGAGTTTGAAACAGTTGGAAAGATAGACAATGACACCAAAGTGGTTAGAATTGGTGATTTAAACGTAAGATACTCAAAGAAATACAACAAATATTCTTTGTCAGACATTATATCTCCATCTGGAAAGAGACCGCAGGACTGGGTTAGAATTGCTTTCTACTCAGAAATTTTTGACAAGAAATCCTGAGCTTATGATATCAGTAGCATTTCATGGAAAAGAGCATATCTTATAGACAAAAGTCTTATACCAATAGTTTTGTTATGGTTAGACCCAGTTGTTGGATATAACTTCATAACATATGGTTCATTCGATACGGAACGTTGCAGTGAAGGCTTACTTTACATCGTTCAGAAACCGAAGGACTTCAACACAAAGATATAAGATAGGAAGAACATATAATATAACTCTAAGATATGACTCTACAGTCAATAGAGTCAAGGTTGTGTTAGTTAATGATATGAGAGCTGCAGAAACAGAACTACTTGAAAAGTTTGAGAAAATGTATGGTGCTCCCATAAAAGGTAAAGAAACGTTTGAAGTAGATGAGATAGATAAAGCTATAAAATTATTTGACGAAGTTGCTGAAAATACATGTAAAGCGTTTATTTTTGGTCTTTTGTGAAAGTCAGAAAATAAAGTTAGTGTCATTTTTTTGTATTTTTTTGTATGTAAGATATGATTTTCAGGGATTTTTTTGACGAAGTGTTACTCTTCACTTCGTGTCATAATGTAAAAATAACGTTTACCATGTAAAACGCTTGTGAGAAAACAGGTGAAAACAGGTGAGATCGCACCTCTTCACCTAAACATTATTTTGCTGAATTCAGCACAAAAATCTGAGTAAAATGGCATAAGATTGCTACCCTCGAAAACCGAGAGAAGAGATTCCGTACGAAAACAGTGAAGAAACAGCGAGTAGGTAAAAAAAACTTAGTCGCCAAAACTCTATGAAAACAGTGAAATTTCTCTAAGACCGACTTTTTTCGGTCTTGCATAAAACTCATGAAAATCATGAATTTCCTTAAGATAGAAAAAATAAAGTTAGTTTTATTTTTATTTATTTTTTTTATTTTGTATGTAAGGACAGATATGTCAACATCAGAGAACACAACAACTGCTATCGTTCATGAAGCCATAAATGAAGAATACGAGTACAATACAGTATAACAAACAGTTACGTCTCATTCGTTCAGTCAAAGATGACATGTACCAAATGCAAAGTATTTTGAATGCTCTTTCGTTCTAAAGCAAGCACATCATTGGTTTAAAACCAACAGACAAAAGAACTTTTAGAAGAATTTCCTCATATGTTTGCGACCCGAGGAAAACCGCGAGTCGAGATTCCGTTACGAAAATCGTAAAAATTTGCTAAATGGTTTGAGAGGCTGGTATGTACATAGACTTCTTGTAAATGCTGTGCAATGTGGGCTTCACCTCGTTACGCTTGTTATATTTTCATGATGTTAGATGAAATTCATAGACAAGAACGTGAAGAGCTAGAGAACAAGCTTGAAGCAAAAGACAAAAGCATTCAGAAAAGAATACCACGTTCGGTACCAAAAGGAAGGAAAAGAACTATAAGTATATGATTTATACTGAAGAGATGGAAAATGAAGAAGATAAAGATATGGTTATGTTGCATTTAGTCAGAAGAAACAACAAAAGCTTTTACGACCTTGCTAAGATTTACAAATCTGACAGAATTGGTTCTATCGCGAAAACTTACCGATTTCAATGACACCGAATGAAGATGTGAACAAATAGTTCAAGATACGTTACCTAAACACACTATGATATTAAAGGTTGTACAATACTTACATTCAAAGAAGATTTGCCATTGTTAAAGGAAAAAATAACAGAGTATTTTGACAACTTCAAACAAGTAGAGTAGATGAACCATTTATTTTTCAAGCTTGACTTCAGATGGCTCAGGTAGCTCTATAAGGTAAATTGCCTTGTCAAATCCTTCTGGCATTCCGAGTCCTTCCTTCCGACAGGAAAAAATTTTCCTTCCGACAGGAAAAAAAATTCCTTCCGACAGGAAAAAATTTTCCTTCCGACAGGAAAAAATTTTCCCGACGACAGGAAGAACGCTTCCAGTTGTCCGTCCGTAAACCATTCAAATTTTCGAAAATTGGGAACTTTTTGGTCGAACTTCAGGAAAAGTTTTTCCTTCCAACAGGAAAAATTTTTCCTTCCAACAGGAAAAGTTTTTCCCGACAACAGGAAAAGTTCTTCCTTCCGACAGGACACAAACGAATGTCTCACGTCCCTCTTCCTGAATGCCTTCCAAAGCCAGAAGAACCGACAGCCCCAGCACCACAACAGACTTACTAAGACTAAACACTTACATTTTTCAAGCTTGACTTTTTACAATTTGAACTTTGTTTGCGTAGATATGAATTCTGA